TGTCGAGCTGGTCTTTTATATATGACCCTAAACAGACAAGGTCTCAACCTGGCCTTTTAGGAGATTACAAATAAGAATAAACATGCAAAAACTAATTATTTAATGCAAATAAATATATGCAGTAAATGATCGGCTGTCACACTGCAATTTTTATCCCCCTGTGATGAGGGCTGTCTCCTAACCCTACCACCCAGCCGAACCAATGGGAATTTCCAAACCTCAAGTCCTAGGAGAATTTGACTTCATGTTTCCTAATACCTGTCCACAGAATCACAACGAGGCTTCAGAAAGGCCTTTGTCTCTCCTTTATTACAGCCTCCTAAGCTAGTCAAACAGACAGGGTGAGTAGGACAAAAGCAAGGGAGGGATATGCTGAATTTTCTAGGCTATTACTCTGACACTTTTCTGATGCCTGAAGCTTTTTATTGCCTTCTATTTTCAAGTAATAATAAAATATTGTTTTAAATCTAAAATCATTTATTCAATGCACACTTGATAAATGATTCATATATATATATATGTATATATATATATATATATATATATATACACATATATGGTGTTTTGCTAGGGCTGTACCACATCGCTTCTCAAAAATCCAGTTTCTGCCTAGGTAGGTACAAGACAAGAACTAGGAGAGAGGTATTTAGAGGGTCTGAAGGAAAGTACCTACTCCTTCCTTTGAAATTCTTATTCTTCCATTCTGCCAGTCTCTGCCACTCTAACTCTTTTATCTGTCTTTGGGACTCAGGCTCATTGTGCTTAAAAAAATATCATTTCTGTATGTCTATCTCTATCCCTTTCCCCGTATCTATACCTGTAAATGTAAGTAGATACATACTGTATTATTGTTTTCTTTGGCCTTTGTACTGCAGCGTGATAACATGCTTATTCAACTTCATACCAATGGTATGCTTTTGATATCTTAGCTATGGACTATATTTTACTCAAATAAGAAAGTGTATGCTTATTGAGAGGAAACGTCATTTTAAAAACTTAATATGAAAGAAGGGAAAGAAAAAGTATCTGCTCAGGTCTCATGGGATCGGTCTCTGTAGAAAACTCTGACAGGGTGTACATGAATGGAGAAGAATTGTGCATGATAATTTATAGCCAATATTCTGTCCCCAGAAGGACCTGGAAGCTGGTCCTCAGCAGGAGCTCAGACATCACTGAGGCTAAGAGATGATGTTTCTCTTGCCGGGATCATCTGCTGCCGATGTTTAATAAGATGCGCAGAACTGAGAGTCAAGATGGAAATAGGGTCCTGTTTCATTTCCTAAGTGAACAGTGTCGTGTGTATCCACATGTGTTCGGTGTGAGGGGGCACAGTACCTAAAAGTGAGAGGTCACAGGGACAGATATATCAGGAGTTCTGCCCGGGCATAAATTACACAGGGCTGGAAGTGGGCGTGCCTGAGAGAAACAACCCATTTCTCCCAGGCGGGTGGATTTCTCTGTGCCTTTAGGGACAGTATACCTCTTATGCTAACAGGCTTCTGGCCTATAAGAGAATATCCTAGCAGTCCTTCTGAATGGACTCTAATTTTCTCTGAAACTGCAGACTTCCATGGGATTGGTTGGGCTAGAAGACACTGGGAAGTAGCCAAAAATGAAGGTGGAATTGCCATAAAAACAAGTGTTCTGGAGGGGAAAGGGCAAGGTCTAGGTGGATTTGGATGTGGCCCAGTGAAGGAGCAGATGGGAGGCACTGCTTTATAGATCTTCTCTGAAAACCTATTGATACGCCCCATTAAACTGACAGTCCGTAAGTAGTGGGTAGTAGATAGTGACATTGTGTAAGGTCTTAAACATCAAACCCTCTCCTCTGAACATGCAAAAAAGTGGCTGCAAAGCATGGAAATCTAAGAGCCAGGGAAATGCTGAAGAGGGGTATATGGGGACAGAACGACAACAGCATGAACCATTTCTCACTTGCTCAGCTTTTATTGTGTAGTAGGCTCTACATAAAAATGTAATCTGTTTTATCTCATGCAATCCTTATAACACTTCAATTGTTTGGGTTCTAATATTATTTCTGTTTTGCAGAAGTAGAAAGTTGCAGTTTCTGAACTGACCAGAAAAGCCACTGGTGGCCTGAAGATCGCATCTTTAAAAGCATCAAGCCCATTGTCAGCAAAACTATAAATAGTACTATGCTGATTTTGGTGTGTGAATGTAATACTGTTAACGCATCAAAAATGGATCACAAATAGCACATATCATGCATTAGGCATTTTCCCCCAGTAATGTCTATTTGTCTCGACTGAGCCATCAAGTCCACTTCATCACTCACTGTTGTTACCCAGGACTTACGTTTGCCTACTTGCTGGCTGGAGTTACCTTTGCCCTTTAAAAAACAAGAACAAAAAAGCAAAACAAAAAGCCACCCTATTCTACAGTACATGGTGGGAATTAGATTTGTCATTGATCCTATTAACACTGTACTTAAATCAACAGAGCTAACCAACTCCATTGCTGAAGTGCCACAGAAATTTGCCCACAAATAGTACTTACCTATCGAAGGGTAGGTATACCACTGCCTAATCACACTATGACCTTGATTAGTGTTTTTTTACCCTCTAGTTAATGTAAACATATCTTGCTGTTAAAGGTATAAGTGAATTAAGTATAAACTTTAGAGATGATCTGGGTGGTAACTATCACTCTCTCACCTTAGTTAGAGGTTGTTAAAGCATATTCAGGGAGCACCCAGCTAGCTATAAGGCTAATGGGCTCAGTCTGTGGATGCACTCAGTTGTGTGGGTCAATTCCCCTGTTAGATGCCTGCTTTGGACCATGTCCTTATTTATCATAGACAATGGGGGAATGAAACGCAATGAGAAAAATTTCAATCAGTTAAATTATTTTGTTTGGGTCTTTTTTTGGCTGTGCCCAAGAATAGCGGGAACAGCCAGTGAAACTGAATGGCTAAAATTCCACTTGAGGATTTTCTGTGGCTTTGATTATCCATGAATTGCCCACCCGCTGTCACCACAGAGAAGACAAGACAAAGAATAAATGGGAGTATCAACACGGCTGAGCACTTCATGTGTTCTCACACATCTAGCCTTTACATGACCCGAACAATTTTCCAATTCAACAACTTTTGTAACAACTTTGCATTAATGTAGATGTAATGTTCACACACATATATATACATGTGTGAACATATGTATATAGAACACATGCATAATATCAATAGCAAAGAATGTATTCCTAAGACATTTGAGATGTTATTTCTCACAGAACTCCACCATGACTTCTCACTTCTTGTCAGGCCAGCCAGTGTATGGAAGTGTCCGTGTTTGCCCCATGCCTTGCTCCACGTCATATCCTTCAGAGGAGTTGAGGTTCCCACTCTCTTCCACCTCCCCAAATCCCACCTCCCAGAGAAAACTTTCGGGAACAATCTGTCCAGCTGACCTCGGCCTCTTCCTCCTTTGACCCGCTGCTGGAATCATCAAGGCAGCATTGGCCCGAATGCTGCCTTGTTTGGCTTCTGCCTGACTTTACATGAATTCACCTGTTTCACCTAACTGGATTGCCTGAGAGTTGAAACATGATTTCTATGTCTCCAAACACATCAAGCACAGTGCCTACCAAGCACATATTCAATAAATAACTTTTACCAACCATTTTCAATGAAAAAAATTTTATCTGCAAATCCCAATGCCAGCCTGTAGCTGTTTTGTTGCCATTAAGAGTGAGGCAAAATATGAATTCACAAAATTCATAGCACCTTTCTTCAAAGCAGTTCTTAACCCTTTCTTGCATGGTATCTCAGTTCCATGAAATCCTGGAATGAAAAGCAAGGAAGGGTAGAAACTAAAATTCCTAGGACTTTTTACATTCTTCTCAGCACACACATGAAACGGTGGTATCTTTGCTGGCTCAGGCAGTTAACACCTGCCTCCCCTGTAGAAGAGGTACAGTCAAACCTCCATTAAGGCAACACCTCGGTCCAGATCCTTACACCAAAGCACGAGTGTTTGGGTGTTAAAAGAAAGGGGCGAATTACAGCAAAAACAAGATCAATGATTCATTTCAATATTCACATCTTTGGGAGGCCCTTCACTTATACATTCATTCCAATTTTGTACACCTTCTTAAACATACTAATTGATAATTGCATTACAAGGAATATTGAATGAGCACTTACTCTCAGCTAGGAATCAAGTGCTTTAACTACTTAATCTCACCACAAAAAAGACATATAAAGCATTCATTATGATTATACTCATTGAAGACACCAAAACTGAGATACCTAGAAGTTAAGGAACTTGCCTCAAATCATGAAGTTTACAGCCGATAATCTGAACTTACTTTATGCAATGCCAGAGCATAATGACTATGCTTTGCTGATAATACCATATTTAACAGGACACAATCACATTTCTCAGCCATTAAAGATTTTCTTGATGTAGGATAGTTACTAGACTGCAATGTTGCCAACATATTACATTCATAATGGAGTTCAGGGCAATGGGACTTTTAGATCAACCCTCTATTTAAAATTCCTAGACAGGTCAGATCACCCTCCCCTCCCAACCCCGAATTCTAGTTCATCAGAGTTGTAAAGTATCAGAGCTGTACGGAAAGGGGTGGGGGTTCCTTACCCTACTTTGCAGATTCCAAAAAAAGTCAGTCTCATCACTGATTTATGGAAAATGTGGAATATATTAATAATAAAAAAGCCACTTGGGAATAATTGAAATTTCATCTCAACTCACATTTCTGGAGTGCCTGAAAGTGATCTGAAAAACTGGATACATAACCTTCGGTTATGGTGGGCATAGATTATTTCAAGGGTGTTGGGAGAGGTATATTTGCTTAGCTTAATGATATTGGGAGAAGTAGGAGTGAAGTCATGTTGGTGAGAAACAGTTCCATTGGTCAGTATAAGAGCTGATAAAGCAAATATTCTGATTTAAGAGAAATTTTTATTGCCCATGACTCTTAGAAAACCATAGGGGACCAGAGTTCTCTGAGGCTCTTACTTGGTAGCACAGCTGGTGTTGGAAATCATACTTGGCTGTTCCCCTGGAAAAGAATCCCTCCGTGCTGTCCCAGGAGATCCCTTCACGCTGCTGGTCTTTACCACTATTGTTGTCCCTGCAAGAACATAGTGAGCTTAGACAGCTGGCATAATATCTATCCATAAGGAGTTTTGAATCATTCCTATTGGCTATGACATTTCTAGGTCCTTAGCTGGGTAGAAGCTGGGGATCCTTAGCTACAGACCAGTTGTTAGAGGACAAATGATAAAAGAGTATTTAATTTCCTTCTATAGAATTGATAGTGGGTGAAAAACAATTGTGAGGATTTCAATACCACGGAGTATGCTCACAAAGAGGACCTATTGCGTTGCTGCTGTCTTCTTCTAATCCATCACTCCTCCCATCTCAGCCAAGAGCACTCCGACCAGGGGGCCTTCCTGCAATAGGCAGGGTCTACAGCTGCTACATGACTCGAAGAAAAAACACTGTGAGTGTCCTTTTCCCTCCTGCAGATAGCATTCAGGTTAGAATTCATTCTACTTGGATATTGCCTCCTACTTCATTTTCCCTACACAGCTTCTTCTGTTATTAATTCTCCAGATTTTCATAAAGTTCAAAATCTGGAAATAATGCAGAAGCGAATAATTTTTTCTTCAGAAAAGTGGGGATAATACTGGGACTTCAAAGGGCGATTGTGAGGAAAAATGAAGAAGAATTGAAATTTAATAATTGCATAAGCAACATGGAGCTGCAGTGGGATGGAAAGAGCTGACGCTCGAGCCCACTCGTCGGGATGGTGTCCCCACACGTTGGTCACACGATCATGACATTCTTAGGCCAGAACCCACATTGGACCTAGGAATCCTTCCCACACACTCGGATAGGAAGACTTTATTGGTCAATTGGCGCTTGGTATTATGATAAAAAATGACGTTCTAAAGCTTGCTTTTGAGTTAAATGCTTCTCTTTCACTCGTCAAGAACACTACGTTACCTGCTTGCCTGAACTTGATCAGAAATGGGAAGACTGTCTGAGGAGAAGTTATCAAGGTGAGGGACAAAGTCAGAGAGTAGCCATCATTGCTGTTCCTCTCCCTTTGCCCGCCCAAGGAGAGAAAAGAGACATGGCCTTTGCCTCCCGTGTTAGTTTAAGAACCACTTCCACACCGAGACCACTCAGAATGGGAAGTTCGTGCAGAACAAGGCTTCAGACCCACTTGTCACCAGGCTTTGGATCCTGGCAGACGGAAAAAGCCACACAAAAAAATCTTGGCATCCTCTTCTTTTGTTGTAATCCTTTCTGAACCATTCTAATCCATAGAAAATATCGAGTCAAAACAGACTTCTGGAACAAGAGGGACATCCTTTGGGTATGTGATTTGTCGGCTTAAATCATCAGTAATTGCGTCATGCAGGTGTGCTAAGAGCCAGCTTTGGCATGAGACTGGTCCCTACCTGTAATCCTCAGAAGCCTCTACTTACAGATGGAGGCTTGGTGGGGCCTTTCAGATTGACTGATGTTTCCTTATCTCGAGGTTACCTTTGGCCCTGGGCAAACAACCCGGGAAGGGAATGTCTGAAGAAAACTCTGAGTGAGAACTAGTGTGTTACCAACTGTCAGTCTTTAAAGGCCAGTGGCTTAGGACAGTGATAGGAGCTGAACGACGGAATGTAAAAAGCGACATGCTCAAACTGGCTTAGGAACAATAGAACTTTCGGGAAGTCTCTGCTTTCTCAAAGCCTAACTCTCCAGCCAAAAACAGTTGCCAGGTACTAAAAAAAGGGTGTGAAATTTTTGCTAAAGCTTTGAATCTTACCTTGTGTCATTCTTTATAAAATCTCTTCTGAAAGCACATTCATGATCTGTACAATTTTGAAAGCTTCCATAATTATTGAAGTACATGCATGGGTGCAGGGGGTGGAAAGAACGGCCTGTGTGAGGACTGGCCAAGTGACTGGCTGTGTGTTGGCAGCTAAAGGTAAGAGATGGACTGGCACATGAGACCTCCTTTGGACCCTTACAGCGATGAATTCTGTAGTCCTAACGGCCTTCGAGAAAAAAGTCTAAAGTGTTCTATCAGAGAGCAGACAGGGCAGTTAAGAACGAGCCTCAATCTATTGTTGCCCTTGTCTCCAGTTTCTACGCTGATTCGCTCATTTGAAAAAAAAACAAAAAACAAAAACAAGGAGATAAAGTCACCTCTCTCAAAGGCAGTAGATAAGTAACTGAAGTTTCTTTGATTTCATTTTGAGACAATTTGATAATTTTCTTTATTTATATTTTTACCTATCGGTTCCTTACAGTGTACACATAATTACTTTTTTGTATTTTAGGCAAGAAAATCATGGAACGGATTTTGCCTAACACTCTAGCTAGACTGATGGTGTCTTCCCACAGCTTACTATGACTTCCCCATGGATATTCTAAAATAAGTTTTTTTTTTTAAGATTTTATTTATTTATCTTTAGAGGGGAAGGGAAGGAGAGAAGGAGAGAAACATCAATGTATGGTTGCCTTTCGTGCGTCCCCTGCTGGGAACTGGCCTGCAGGGAACCTGCCTGCAACCCTGGCATGTGCCCTGACTGGGAATCGAACCGCGATTGTCTGGTTCGCAGGCCCGTGCTCAATCCACTTAAAGTAAGTTTTTGAAGAAAGCATTAGACATTAAAAAAGCATGGCACCTAAGACCTGGGGATGACTGTGAAAAAGTGGAAGTCCTATATACAGCCAACATTATCATTACCTTTCTCTCTTCCTCAAGTAGTGATTTCCTTGAAAGCTACATGTAAATGTTTTTTTCTCCCTGGCATACATGATAAGATCACATATGAAGACAGGCCTCATACATGATTTCCAAATGGATAGCGAAAATTCTACTCCTATCTCCCTCAAGAAATCTTAGCCTATGTTCAAATGAGTGAAAATAATTTCTATATTATTTGGATAATTCTGAATCTTTTTAATCTCCTAAATAGCTAATTTGTTGCAGGTATTTGTAAAATTTTATATTTACCAATCACTGTCACACACCTAAAGAGTGATGTCACATATCCTGGGTGAGAACCGCTGCTTTTAAGAACCGCAGCACCAGCAAGTCTGTCACCAGGGTGACAGGTCAAGCCACTGCCTTAGTCTTGCAAATATAAGGGTAACATTCATCATCTATTTATTTCTTTATTGATATATCCATTTGGGATAAGAACTTGACTTCAGGAACATCATTATCGATCCAGGGAAGCCAGCTAGAAAGCTGCTGTAATCATTGGAATGAGAAATAAGGGGGCCATGGCTGCAGTGGAGACGAACGATAAGGACCAAAGAATATGAAGCCCCAGAGTCAACTGTAGGACTAGAAAGAAGGAATATAGGAATTCAAGATACTTCTGTATGTTCTTTGTGGACTCATTACCAAATCGAGTTTCTTTTTGTTGGAATTCGGTGGGCATGTGACGATGACCGTGCTTTAGAGGAGTCACACAGAAGCACCTCTACTCTCTCTCCTACCCCAGGCCATTGGCACAGGAGGCGAGCTCTGATGACTTCGGAGGGGCTGAGGTAAGCCATCCTGGGGAGAGGAGCTGGTGGAGTCGTTAGGGTGGTTATCCTTCCACCTTCTGGGTTTGGAACTCTCCTCCCTAAGGAACACTGGCTGGGACCACTCCTGTCTCAGAGGGGGCAGTTAGTCTTGGATGTTTATGAAAAAAGAGACCCAGGGACAAACCGGCTAATTCAAGTTTGGGCCACCTATTCAAACTATTTCTCTTTTCACATCCTGTCTCCAATTTCATTTCCATAATTTCCCTTTCAGGTGTGACTCTATTACAAAAATGAGCATTCTAAGGAGACCTCTGAAAGTTCTCAGGGGTTCAGATTGGAGTGTTTGGCCACAACTTTCCCGGGGGCCATTCTTACATTGCCCACTCCCTCCACTCCGGCACATGCGAGGGTTCTGTGTTCTCTTCCTTGCCCTGGTTGCGGACCCCTTCTCGAAGAGCTGCCTTCAGCACTCAAGGTGTCAGTGGTGAAGTAGCAGGCAGTGTACCCTGCAGGTGGCACTAGGAAAGTTCCTGCCCAACAACTTATCTAACTTACATCACCCAGAAAAGCAGGAAGCCAATGACCTCTCTTGCTCTGAAGGCTAGGCCTATTATCCTTCATGCTAATGAGTGGGGTAGAATCAGTATAGTCTACCAGAACTCCTCTGCCAATTTTTAGTTCATCTGTACTACATTGATTAGAAAAAATAATAATTTTATTTTACGTTCCCATAGGTAAGATGATAATTAACATATATGTAGTATTTACCATTTTCCAAGCATTGGTCTTAATATTTTTTTATATTAATATACTCAGAATGCATGCTGCCTTTATATACTAATATTCCCATTTAATTCTCTGAGATATGTGATATTATCAACATTTTACAGGAATGTGAAACCCAGGGAGACCTTAAATAAGGTGCCCTTAGCCACTCAGCTGAGTGGCCAGTGCCAGATCCCTGTTTGGACCACTGCACCCGGCTGCCTCCCTCAGACTGCAGACAATGAACTTCAGTGGAGAACCTCTGGTGTGGCTCTAGTTTAGAAAAATGAAAGTAATCGAAGGGAGAGGGATTATGAATCCTAGACTACCACAGCATTTTCACCCTTTGTCATCTCACGGTACACATAAACTAATTACTAAAATTCTGCAGCACATCACGAGATGTATTTCTTTCTCATCTGACAAAAGCAGGTACAATTTTAATTCATCTGCACTGGGTGGCCATTGTATTGGCTGTTGTCATTCTTTTTTATTTGAAAATCGGGAAAAAGAGGTCTGTGCCCCTAACTAAATAGTCAGGAATTTCATGTTTTAAAAATTCTTGCTGTACACCAATTGAAAATCGCTGGACTATCAGAATGAAAAAGGGCCATAGAGGTGATGAGAACTTCCAAGTTTGGAAATGATACCAAGACCCCAAAAGAGAACATGTTTTCCTTAAACCACAGCCAATGATATTATAGCTGTGATCAGAATTCGTTTTCTGAATTCTCGTTTGGTATGGTAGGAGGAAGAAATTGGTGAAACTGGGAAAACTTTATTAGCTCAACCAAGTGATACTTATTCGAAGGGAATAGACTAGGGATATCCTTCATCTAGCTATGAAACATGAAATATTCAACCTGAAATTGGTACTAATCCAAAGTCAGTACAGTATCTATTTTGACACCCATTGGTAAGTTTCTAAGTCCTTTTTTGAAAGTTAATTCTCTGGGAGAATTTCCAGATATTATTATGACTTTTAAGTATATAAGGCCAAGCAGTCAGCTTCTATAATGATGTCCTCGGAACATTTTGGCTTGAACTAACTCCACATTCAAATTCACACTAGAGTCTGAGCCATAACCACCAGATCAGTGAGACTTTCATGGAACTCTGCTGCCATCACCTGGCAGACTGAAGTAAAGCACAGCTGACTCGCTCATCGCGTGGTATTTCAGTCTCCATGCCAGATTAATCGAGTTCTCCTGAGTCCCATGGGCTAGGCTTGGCAGGAGTGGTGACTGAGGGTCCATAAGAAGCAGAAAGAAGAAATGATTCTATTATGAGAATAAATAAGGTCCTGGCTGGTGTAGCTCAGTGGATTGAGCATGGGCCTGTGAAGCAAAGGGTTGCCGGTTCAATTCCCAGTCACGGCACATGCCTGGGTTGCAAGCCAGCTCCCCAGGAGGGGACACATGAGAGGCAACCACACATTGATGTTTCTCTCCCACTCTTTCTGCTTCCCTTCCCCTCTGTCTAAAAATAAATAAATAAAATATTTTTAAAAAAAGAATAAGGAAATTCTGAGGAATGTGCTAACTACATCGAAGCTCAAACATTAGATCTGAAAGTCTTCCTTTAATACTATAAAATACATGTCATAGAAGTGGGTAAAATTTAGTAAATATACAAATATAAAGGCAGAGCCTCTCTCTTTAAATAAAAATGTTCTATCTTTATATGACAGCAACTTCCTGCTTTAAAATACTTATAGTAAACCACACTTAAAAGTCAACGAAATAGAGGGATAATGACACATTTTCATAAAACTATTTTGCAAAATTACTGACAGCTGTCTGAGTACATGGGTGTGTATAATATATGTGCAAAAGTTTTATTTGAATGCTGTGTTTGTAGGGATGTGTCTACCGCAGAAAACTGTGCTAAGTTTTTATAAGGGCATGAAGGCATGTACAGTGAGATGATACTTTTTACATATTTTTCCTTCTTATTCACACCTTCTTTAGTGGGATATTTTCCGTATTTGGTCAGCTCCATCTATTCCCTCAAAAAAGATTCATATTATTACAGAAACCAAAAAGAGTCAATGTTTAACTGCTGAAGCCACAGCAGGTCTTAAAGCCCATTTAATTAATCATATTCTTCAGAATAAAGCATTTTGGGAAATTACAAAGCAACAGTTTTTCTTCTTTTTGGCATAAAAATATATTTATTTTCTCCCAGTCCTGGAAGCTGGAAGTTCAAGGTCAGAGTACTGGTGAGATTGATATCATCTGAGGCCTGTCTTTTGGGCGTGTATATGGCCACCTTAGGAATGGATTTTTGTTTGCTTTTCTATACCCCAAACTGTCTTATATTCTCAAGGGGAAATTGAGAAATTCAGAAAAAACAAAGACAGGGTTAAGACAGAACCTTCAATCTTGCATGCAGAATGGCAGCATGAGAAGCCCCATGGACCTGCTCCCCAGTGAGTCTCCTTTAGAACTCCTTCAATTGGCCTGTGGTCAAGTTGAACTACATAATTAGGAAGGTTGCTCTCAGCTCTAAAAGACTGGTACTCAGGTCTTGCATGCCCAGTGGGGAAACATCTGCCACTTCTTGGCCAAGTTCAAATGGGCATTGTCCTTTAAGGGAAGATCTCCTCTTTCCTTGGCCACGCCCCCAGAAGCTGCAGTGAGGACAGCCAGATATAAAGCGCAGTTACCTGTGAAGGGTCGATGGCTCTTGCTTTTGCAGCTACATTTTCCAATTAGCTCAGGAGAGGGCACATCACTGTGACAGGTGGCACAGTAAAAGGCGGCTCTGGACAATGAAAGCAAATCAAGAATGACTTATGTGAGGCTTCACACTAAGGAAGCATGGCGCTGACTCAGTCTGCCTGCCATTAAGTTGTGTGTGCACTAGGACTCTCTCCCCATAAAGCAATAAAGAAAATTACCTTTTGACAGTCTTTGCAGATTCAGCAATGAAGAAACCTAATGTGTTCTTATGCATCTTAACCTGCGCAGGTGGATTTAATACTGGACCACTACAGACAGAAAATAAAAATACAATAATTTCCCCTTCAATTTCTGTGCCAGCAGTTGGTGTTTCGTCCTGTCATTACAAATGGGTTCTCTAAATTGCAGAGTTAATAGGACTGAGTGCCCTTTTACTGCTGGACATGGTAGGAAGTGTGAATTTGACTGTGTTTGATACTCTGATTGCCGCTAAATATGCTGAGGGAAGGCAGGCCACAGCACAACTCCTGAGCTGCGTACTCGGTGGAGCAAAGGGTAGGTTCTTCCCTAGACTGCGTCCTGCTTCTGAGATGGTCAAACCAACTCCGATGCATGACGCTTTGATGTTTGAAGGTGTCCATTGCTAGCTAGGCCAAGGCCACACAGTAGCTAGACTTACTATTGGTGCCCATATTCAGGCTACTTGACCTTTAAAATGCAATGAAGTCTAATAATCAGCTGGGTTCAAAGGTTCCTTTTATTGGCCTGTGCATTTTCTGAACCTGTATATTTCTTTTGACTTAATTTTTGCCTCCCACCTGCAAGGTTTGAGAGTAACAACCACATGAATTGTTTCCATTTCTACATTACTTGGATGTTTTGATATTTGATTTTCTTGTTGCTCGTGGGATTGAAAATGCTGTCTTGCAAATTCCATCCTTGATATTCCTTGGTGCAGTACTCTGTTACGGCTGTTCGAGTTCCCCACATTCCTCCCTACGTTTGTCAGATCTTTCATTATTTTTCAGACCTCCAGTGTGATAAGGTCTTATAACCGGATGACGCCCTGCACTGCAGTTGTGCATGATGAAAGTATTCCTTTTGTTCTTGAAAGCACACTACTTTTATATTCACATCAGAAGGGGGTTAAGTCTTTATTTTGGCAAAGCTTATTCTGCTGTGAGAGTACTCCCAAGTAACTTCCAAGTGTTAGAGGCTCACAAAAATAAAAAAGCTTGTATGGCAAAAGCTCTTCAGCCCAAGGCAAAGAGGAGGAGGATGCCAAATAGCTATGTTCGGGTAGATTATGACTGAAGACATTGGATGGCACTTTCTGAGTGCTTTCGGACTCATGTTAATGAGTGGAATGATTGTTTTAACTAAAAAAGAGAAGGAGCATGGATTTGTGCCTCCCGCTGCAAATATCACTGGTGAAAGTTCACTAGCTAGCAAGCATCCACTTAGTTATATCTTCACATCTCCTTTTCAAAAGGGACGGTTCTTTGAACTTCTATTAAACATTTAGTTTTGAAGAGACTGTCATTATTAATATCTCTGGTTACATTTGAAAAAAGAGGTGAACTTTTGAAGATCTTTCTGAACTGGCATTATTGCTTAATTCCCCTCCTCATTAATCATGGCCAGTTGCTTTACTAGAGAATGTTCACTGCTGGAACAATCTCAGAATATTATCTAACTGGGTCAGGTCCAACTATATCTCTTAGCAGGTGACAAATTATTCCCTAAGACAAATCTTTATGATTACCCAGGGGTTTTGCAAGTCTTAGAGTACATTCAAGTGCATTCACTAAAGGAGAAAATAAAAGGTGAGAAAAGAGGTGAATTTCCATCAGAAAACCCAGTCACTGAGTGCCCTGGCTTTCTCCCATTTATACGTGGCTATGACGGATTTAGTACTGCTTGGCCATCTCAGGCGCAGCCCCCAGAGCCAGCTGGAGTTCAGACTGGGAGTCATGTGAGTTTGGGGAAATTAGTTAACCTTTCTGGGCCTCAGGCCTCTCCTCTGACATGAGCTAATAATTGTGCACATCCCACAGCACTGCTGGGAAGACTCAAGAGTTAGGGTCAGCAAAGTGCCCACAGCACTGTGCATCATGAACCAGCAATCATGTAAGACATTGCTGTTATCAGTATCTGTGCCAAAATGGGATTTCATTTCTTTGATTCACCTGACTTTTTGGTGAGAAACTGAAGTTAAATCTATGATAGAACAAGTTTTCCTTTCATTGTGGGTAGGTGTGTATGGCATAGGAAACAGCACCAGGACCTGTTGGATATATAGAGACATTAGTTCCTTAATAGGTATTCCTGTTGCCAGTGGATGGTGTCCTACTAGTCATTCGAATAATGTTTATAAAAATCTGGGCCGTCAGAGTCGAAGAGGAACTTGAAAGCACTTGGCCCAATAGCTCCCAACTGCCAGTGAATAAACTATCTCGCAGAGACTTTAAAGAGTCTCAGGCTCCACCCTTGGAGATTTCGACTGTGTCAAGTTCAGAAGTGCTGGTTTCAGAATCTGTACATCTTTAAAATTTGCACATAATTCTGATGTGTAGCCCAGGTTGTTAAAGTCCAAAAAAGATGTTACACCTTGACCAAGTTGTGGGCTGGTCCAAAATCCAAATTGCTTGGTGAAGGTTTAGATTTTGAGATTTTTCTTGAGCGTGGAGGGACTGCCGAGTATATGGTAGCCAGCCAGACAACCCTTCTTGTTATTCTCTCCTTAACGGCTTGCTTCACAGTGCGCCCCACTGATTTCTTCTGCACATGTTCTACTTACACAGAACTGTTGTTCTTTCCAGCCTTTGGTATAAAATCATTCCTTTGTTGTCCACGTGCTATCACTCAAAACTATTGAATTTTGACCGTTTCCTTGCAATGGCGGTGTTCCTGGAAATGTCAGCGTTAGAGCTGGCAGGGTCTTGGGGGCTCGTTAACACGAGTTCCTCACTTTACAGCTGATGTTCCCTTTGCCGAGGCCGCTGGGCTGGCAAATCATCATCAAGACTACAGGCTAATGTGTGGATTCTGATTTAATTTAAGGGAGTTTTAAACTAAAACCATACAGAAGCTAACATCTTTTTGTTCCCCATCCATTTAAGCCCCCCCTTTTATTTTTCATCATCTTTTCACTATGTATCATTGTAGCCGATTCTCTACTTTTCCAAATTTTTATTTTTTATTACTGTATTTTTGGACCATAAGACACACCTAGGTTTTACAGGAGAAAAATAGGAAAAAAATTTTGAAGCAAAAAATGTGGTAAAATATCTAATAACATAAATAACACAATTATTTCACCAATGTAAATGCAAACAGAACTCAACAGCAGCATTAACAACCATTATTCCTCCCAAATTTGGGGGGAGAGGAAGGGTGCATCTTATAGTCCGAAAAATGCAGTACACAATAACTTCTTTTACTTCTCATATCATCCAATGATATGATATGATATGATATGATATGATATGATATGATATGGGTTCTCGGGGAATGCTGGTAATGTTACCTCTTTCTTTCACCTCCCCTATTAACAGGAGACTTTATCTAGTAGGCCAGTCAAATTCCCATTTTGCCATATTTTGCAGATTTTTTTTCTAAGGCTAGAGTTTGTGAGAACATTTTTACCATAAACAGTTCTATTTCATAGTATGGTTTCATGGTCATGATCTGCAAGAGCTGGCAATACATTAAGAGGAACACCTGAGAAGGTGACCCTTTCTTCTCTCCCCGGCTCACGTGAATAGGGGCAGGGTCATAGGAGCAACCAGTCTAACCCCAGTCATTCGAGGTGATGCTAAATGCACCACAGCAGGCCGGGTGCCCAGGTTGACTGGCTCTCAACAAGTAGCAGAAGGCTTAGTTATGGCTGTATTCTTTGGAAAACTCTTAATCATAAAATTCCCCTGAAAAAAAAAACTGAAGAGGTTCGAAGCCTCATTGCTACCAGGAACCGGAACCCATGGATTCGTGCTGGATGGCTATCAGCATGAGGTGCAGCTTCAGGAAGCAGAGCCTGGAAAGGAAGACAGAGTCGTGAGGAAGGGGAGGACAGCTGAGCGCTGCCTAGCAACCACTCAGACTGGCGCTCTGCACCCGGGAGAACGCCGGCCCCTCGGCGGAGGAAGTGCCTCCCAAACCTGGAATTCCCCCTTGTGGGGGAATCCTGCCTGAAGTAACTCAAGGTCATCGTGCCAGTGGGGCAGAGATGAAATTGTCCCCCAAATTCCAGGTTGCAAAGACTCAGACTTATTCACTCTTATGTCTTATAGTCTTATATCTTCCGTGCTTTTCATGGAGCCCGACCTACAGAGAGTCATCAATGACCCTTGTTGGAAGAATGTCGTTGCATAACAAAATGTGGAAAGTCCTTCTTTTAACTTACCGGGAGACTTCAGGAAAAGTCATCCCCACGAAGTCATCAGAGAGACGCTGAGTCAGGATTTTGTTCCTCAGGCCATTTACAAAAATTTTTTGCCAGGGCTGTTTCGGATTAACCTGTAATATACAATTATGCCACATGAAGCACTGGACATGGAATATGAGATGCCATCATTCAAGCTGTATATTTTGCTAAGCAGCAAACGAGTACCCATTGCACTTAGGTGGTAGGAAGGGGGTTTGTCCTAGTGCTTAACTGAAGAAATATCAAAGGAAGAAGAACTAAAACTCTGACATACATCTCAATTCTTTTCACTAAAGAGTTCACAATGAAGTAGAAGCATAACATAGTTTCTTCCCACAGGGCATCCAAGAAGCCTTGCTGGAAATTAGAATTCTTCTCCCAATAATTTCAGCAAAGTGGCCTGGATTTTAAATTAGTAATAAGATGGGGAGGATAATATACAATCTAAGTTGTCTCTCCCTAGATATGGCTGTTTAAGGTTGGTTTTTTAAACATAGTATTTTTTAACTGACTAACTACCAGCATACCTCATTTTACTGTGTTTGATTTTATTGCACTTCACAGATGTTGCTTTTTTTTTTTTACAAGTTGACTGCAAGACCCTCCACCAGCAAAGATAATGAGTCACTTTATTGAGGTACTCACTTTATGGTGATGGTCTACAACCATCCCGAAATATTTCGGAGGAATGATTCTAAGTACTTACCACACAAAAAAATACACATGGTTTCTGCTCAGTATCAGAACCCTTCATGGATTCAAATGAACTCAAAGAGCCACCCTTACTAATAGAAATGCAAATGTAAAAATCAAAGATTAACAGTTGGTTTCTAGATAGGTGGGAGATGTGAAGGGAAAATGGTCTCTCTCAAAAAGGCTAGATCCAACCTGAGAAGACAGGGGCGATTGCACTGCCCACCTCCATTACTTGTGTGAGATCACTCACAATTTTGTTGCGCTCTCACGGATCCTCCTCACACTCCCAGACCTACTTCCACGAGAGCCACCACCGCGCTGTTCTGACGTGGCAGGAGCATGCGCCTTAAAGCCCAGAATCTCAGATAAAAGTCTGGGATTTGTATAAACTCTGCAACATCGTAGCCATGGAGAGTTCATGCCAGTTCAGAAATACTTCTCCAATGGTCATTTTGTGGTTTAGGAAAAACAAATGAAAAAACATAAACACAAACAAATATTTCTGCCCTGCTAAAGAAGATCACTATTTCATGCAACCCAGGCACCCTAATGCTTCCCAAGACTCAGCCGAGTCTCCTGCCTTTTCCCAGTCTCTTAGATCCCTCTGTTGAGGAGGGCTCACCTCATTGGGCAGTTCATACCACTCCTTAAGTCCCTACTACTGAGGAAATTGACTTAGTGTTTTTAATCTAAATGTTTCACTTTTGGAAAGGGATAAAAAAAATGATAACCATAGAGCTAGAGAAGACTTTCCGAGTTAGTTTTTAAAAGGTCAGAAAGGGAAACAGGAAGACAAAAAGGATTTTGGATTTGGATGGTAGAATCGGGGAGCTCGAGTAAACCGGCTGGATTAGACCTAATCCACATGTAAGCCTGTGAGGGATTTCTTTGTGCCTAACACTGACGGGACTGCTTTGCAAGCTACGAGTTCTCACCATATACTCAATATAGTAAAAAACAAGGAAAGACATGCTATCGATCCAAGGCCTTTTGATCTGACTACTCGGGAGTTTTGCAAATATTAACTCAATACTTGGAAAAATCTGGTTATGAGATTAATAACTCTCATGTGTAGGTGCAGTAACTCTCATCTGTAGAGGCAAAACCTAACAGTGAAAGTTCAGCACCTAACCTGAGAAAGGTGGGGCATAAGGTATTGGAATTCAGACCATTAAGCCTAAGCAAGTAGTTAATTACAGAATGCAAAACATGAGAGCAGCACACAGCATTAAAAAGTCTTGCTCTGACTCACGCTACCCAGTTCAGGATTTCTGAAAGTAAGTTTACTTCTAAAAAAAATGATCATGACCACAAATATCTCTCAATTCCTGTATTCCCAAAACCAGCTTATGACGAATATTGGTAGATGATCATCCTCGGTGAGGAGGATACAATTTAAGACCAAGACTCTTATGCTAAGTGAAATAAGCCAGTGGGTGAAAGACATACCATATGATCTCACTTAGAAGAGGAATCTAATGAACAGAAATGAACTAATGAGCAAAAAAGAAGCAGAGGCACAGAATCATGGAACAGACTAACAGTGATAAGAGGGGAAGAAGGAGGTAGGGACTGGTTGAAAGAAGGTGAAGGGATTAGTCAAAGGACATCTGTGAAGGACACATGGACACGGACAGTGGTGAAGGGTCTGCTTACGGAGGTCGGGGGTGGGCTGGGTGGATGGGGGTGAAGGGGAAAATGTGGGACAACTATAATACTATAGCAGTATCAACAATAAAATATTTTTAAAAATAAAATAAAGCAAGAAAAGAAAAAAAGAGAAAAGCATACAAGGGCTGGTTTTACATTTCTACCTCCTGTTCCCATGAGAGAGATGAGGTCTTCAGATAGAGAACCCATTCCTTTCGTTCTCTCCACAGAGACTAAAATTGCAATCGTCCCAGCTGATGTTGCCGTTTTCTTCCACTTTCTAACTGTACAACACAAAGAGGACTTCCTGACAAGCCATTTCCTAGGCCAGACACAGTGACCACTAAGCAAAAGGCTAAAACATGGTCACTGGGGGCACCAAGCTCATTTCTGTCTGCCCGATGGCCATTTCTATTCATCTGCATATCACGTTTCCTCACATTCACAGAAAGAATCGCAGAGGAATTCTATGTGTTCCAAGTAGCATTATGTTGGCCGAAGCATCATTCACCTTTGATGCTTTTCCTTAATAGCACCAGAAGAAATGTACACAGTTTTTGAATTTCTTGAACAAGGGAAGTAAGTGTGAAGAGAGACCAGGAGGAAAATTGCATGTAAAAAGGCAAATGTGGACTGGTGATTAAATGGAGAGAAAGGTCAGTTTCTGGAGAGCCTTTGGACAATGGGATACCAGGCCCAGCTGAGGGTTAAAACATTTCATGGGAAGAGTACTTCAAAGGCCATACTCTGTGCTTTGTTACTTCATTTCAACAGCCCTTTTTAGCTGGTTACTTTGTCTCAAAGGTGATGTGGGAGACTGTAGAGCCCCAGCAACCATAAGGATGGGGCAGAGTTGTCAGAATGCAGGTCAGGAAAGTCTAGTTCTGCTACTCACTTGTTATATGCCCAGGTTATTTAGCATCGTTGACCCATGACTGAGACACTACCTTGAAATATTATTAAGGGGAGACATGATGTATTTAAAATGCATAACACATAGAAGGTATTTGATTTGTGGTCATTATTATGCTGTATGGAATGGCTCCCAAATAACCTAGAAATTTGGATTTTAATTATTATTTGCATTATTATTTATGCTTGATAAATACAATTATTTATTATCATGTTGATTATTTTCTATTAATTTATATTTAAATATATGACTTATCCACTAATAACATAACCTTTAATTATATTTCTACTTTCAATAACTCACAGTGCTCCTACATTTATGAATACATTTACATTCATATTATCATGGAACAGGTAGGAAGCAGAGTTATGATCTATGTTTTGCATGAGATACAGATAAATATTCTTAGGCAAGAATAAGATAAATAGCTTTTTTCAAGGTCAGTGCAGTCCCTGGGAACTCAATCTAGATTTCTCAATCCCTTTCCAGCTCGGGGAGAAGTTAAATCTAATTTCTTGGGGCCTTTTGCTTTTCCCCAATTTTTGTATCTATTTCTGATATTAATGTGTGAGAACATGGGGATGGAGCCAAGACCCAACATCGATTTACAAGGCTACCTTACTGTTTTGCTCAAGAAATAGAGATGTTAGAAAAGTACACAAGCCGGGCACCAAACAGCCTTGGGCCATAAGTCCAAGCTTCAGTTCAGCAAAACAGATGATGTTGTCTCCGGTAGTCCAGTCCCAGCTGGGGATCTTTGGCAGAAAAACCTGTTTCACGGTAGAAAGTAGATCAGATATTAAGACTAAAAATAATTTGAGAAAGCTCTTTCTATCCAAATGGCTTTATTTTACTTTAAAGCATTTATTGTACCCAGGTCAGGAGAAAAGAACAAATTGAACATTTAGAAGTAGTTAGTGGTCAGCTGCTTCACTTTGTAAAACAAAAATAGCAAGTTGCAAAAACAGGTCAAATGGCTTAGGCTCTGATTCTACTAAAAATTTACAATCTTTTCTGTTTATTTATTTTTGAGGGGTATTGTTTTTATTAAGGCATAGTGGATATTTAACATTATATTAGTTTCAGGTGTATAACATAAAAATTTAATATTATTTTTAATTGTTGATACTGTTACAGATGCCCGTCATTTTCCCCATAAACCCCCTCCACCTAGCCTTCACCACATTGCTGTCTATGCCCAGGCACTGTGCATAAATGTATACATGTTCTTTGACTAATATCTTCCAGTCTCCTGCAGCTCTTCCCTTCTGAGATCTGTCAGTCTGTTCCATGTATCCATGCCTCTGGTGTTATTTCATTCATTAGATTCCACATAATGGTATTTGTCTTTCTATGGCTGGGTTATTTCACTTAGCATAATATTCTCGGTTCATCCATGCTGTCTCGAAGAGTGAGAGTTCCTTTTTTACAGCTGTATAGTATTCATGGTGTAAATGTACCACATCTTTTTTATCTACTCATCTACTGATGGGCACTTGGGCTGTTTTCATCTGGGTTATTGTAAATAATGCTGCTATGAACAGAAGGGTGGCTATGAAGTCTGTCTTGAAAAAGTTCAACCATGGTTAACATAACAAGAATGGTTTGTGTGACATCAAGGTAACCTGGCAGCTGAGGAGAGTGGACTGGAATACATATGCATGTGTGAACAATGATGACTTCACTGCATGAATCAGTGGGGGCAGCAGATGCTGTTGAGTGAACATGTGTACTGCGTGGCCATCACATCCAAAATGTGAGTTCCCCTATTCTGTCTTCCATTTCACTGATCCTGTCCTCTGATTCATCTAGTCTGTGTTGAGGCCCTATATGGCAATTTTCAGTTCAGTTATTATATTCCTCAGCTCTGTGACTTCTCTTTAGTACTTTGGATATTTTCTACCAGTTTTTTGAAATATTCATTTTATTATTTATTCTTCTTCCAAGTTCAGTGACATTTTTATGATAGTTATTTTGAACTCTTTGTCAGGTAAGCCAGTTATCTCTCTTTCATTAACATATTTTTCTGAGGTTTTGTCTTGTTTTGCTTTTTGTTTAGAACACATATTTCTGTTTCTTCATTTTTATTGACTTTCTGGGTTGGTTTTTATGCATTATAGAAAACACGGACCTCTCCTAGTCTTAAAGGAATGGCCTCATGTATATGGTAATCCTTATAAGTCACGCCCACCCTAGGTCTTTCTTATCTCTCCAACTTTTGTGATTGTTTAGTCAGTATACTTGAGCTTCAGTGGCTCCCAGTAGTTGAGAGGGTGCCAAAACCTGTCAATGTCCCAGAGCAGAGGCTCTCAAGATGATTTGGAAGTTAGACCACCAGGTAGCAGCTTTTAAAATACACAAATATACCTTTTTATGAATTTACATTTATAAGTGATTAACAATCTTAATGAGACTCCAAATTTCACCTACAGTTGGCAAAAACTTTTTGAGTGTAAAGCCATTTGAAAGGAATGAATTCATCTATTACTTAGATGAACTAAGTTCGTCTAGCTCCACAGTCTAACAGACAAGGTAACTGGATAGGTTAGAAAGTTACAATACCTTGTTATGGGATTGAAGTATCTGTATGATGACTCTGGTATGAGGGCTATAGTTCTTGATAGACAGTACCCTACAAAACAACAAATATGGTCACGTGATGTACCACATACAAAGGCTTTGTAGTACAATTCAATTCAGAGTTTAGTTGGTATGTGGGTAAGCATAATAAAATGGCATATTATAAGTTTCATTGTTATGCTGTCCTCTAAAAATGTCCTGTTTAATAAGATACAGTGGTTTTAGGGACTTAGTAAAATAAATCCATCAAAAGGTCAGCTTTTGTTATTAGAAGATTGTGGTCTTCTAGGACCAATTCTTGAGAAGGAAATAAACAGTTTCATATACATTTTAGCCTTCAAACTCAAACACATTAATTATAAGAAAAGCTGAATATTGAATTATTATTTGTAGCTTGAAATAGTTTATAGACTCTCATATCCAACTTTTGCATTTTACAAATTAAGAAATTAAAGTTCATGTCATATTTATTATATTGTGCACAGTGCAAATTCTCAGCTGTCTCTTACTATTTGTGGAGTCACCTTCAGCCATTTATGTTTATTTTGCCTTGAGGGCCAGAAGATCATCTGGTTTAAGAACAATGCCATTGCCATCACAATAGTTTGAATCTGTTACAAGTCAAGTTCCTGCTCATAGATAGTTCGCAGTTAAAGATGGTAACTGGGTCTAGCCATCTTAAGAATTTCCAGTAGTCACAAGCATATCATACTGAATCATGTACAATCTTTTATCAGAACTACTGGGAAAAAGCCCAGTAAGTAAAGCCTACTAATAGCATTCTCATATCACCAATGGCATCATTATTGTTGAGTGGGAGAGGGTGTACTACTTACAATGATGCTATCTGAACAGTTATCTGTTATTTGTATGCTTGCTTTTTAAATTTAGATAGCTATTATATGAACCTTCAGGAAAGTATGTAGAGAAGACCATAGAGACTTAGGATACTGTATTTTCAACTACTTTTTTCATACATCTGCATCATCTCTGAGAGCAAAAAAGAACATAGGCAGAAACCTGTAATATGATGACCCAATGCTATGGTAAATGACATCTCCTGTTTAGGCCTGTGCACCAGGCTTTATTTTATTTTTTTAATTTAATTTATTTATCTTTAGAAGGGAAGGGAAGGAGAGAAGGAGAGAAATATCAATGTATGGTTGCTTCTGGTGCATCCCCTGCTGGGAACTGGCCCTTGCTGGGAACTGGCCTGCAACCCAGGCATGTGCCCTGATGGGAAAACGAACAGCGATCTTTTGGTTGGCAGGCCTGTGTTCAGTCCACTGAGCTACACCAGCCAGGGCTCCAGGCTTTATTTTAAAAGAGGCAGAAATAAATTCACATTGCAGCATTAAAAACACAGTACCAACTTCTTACTTCATAATGTTTGAAGTGTCTTCAGCATGTAAATCACTGCACAAAGGGTTGGCTATAATCAGGCATGCTTCTGCAGACTCCACCTATTCTTCAAGATTGAACAGCAATCATTTGTTAGCCACATGGGAAATGCTCTAGTGTTCCTCTTTTGGGTTTTCTTATGCCTTTTTTTTCATAAAATTTTCAATAAGGGATAGAACACACTTGGGGAGAAGTTGTATTAAGGATGCAATAACATCAGGACTGTAGTTCTGCAAATGCAGCAAGGGCTGTGAGGGCTGAAATGGAACTAAGACACAGGGTCTCCAACATAGAGTCTAGATTGCTTTAAAATGGGTGCATAGTTATATTTTTCGTATCATCATAATCATCAGTTTATGCCTACTGATGGGTCAAAAGATCTTTTAAAGCAATTGCCTGTATACTTGTTTGCCTTTCAGGACAGCAAAGAATGATGAAACTGGACATCTGCTTAGCTCAAAGGAAGCAGTCATTGACTCTCTGTGGATTCTGAATCTTAAGATTCTAGAAAATTATTAGTGTGGCTCTTATAAAACCCAAGGGCAGGAAAAAGAATGATTATTCTGAGTCTGTCATTTTCTGCTTCAATTCTCTATGTTAACTCTATAGATCTCTGCTTTAAAAAACTGAAGCCTTTTGATTTGTACGATTCTGTGAAACCTACATAATGAGAGGAAGATGGCTTTGATCTTAAATGAAAGCTGTCTACAGGGTTGGCCTTTAATCATTAGTTTTGGTCCCAACCTTAATGGGATCTCTGCTATTTTTCTTCATGTCCCTCCTATCAGGAGGCACATAGGTGTATTTAGAAGTTGGTAAATCTGTCCTTTGGTAAGAATCCCATTCAAATGGTAAGATCAAACACACTTTGGCTACCCGTAATTTTTACAGATCTCTTAGAATGTGCAAATAAAACAGCTCTTGATAGAGAATTTAATGAACTAAATGACTCCACTGTAAGTGTAGATGCGGAGTGAGGTCTGCTTCCTATTTGTCAAAGAGGAGCTGGAGGTCAATTACTACATTTCTTTTATGATCAATTTTTAAATTAAGAAAGTCGTATTTCCCCAAATTTAAGGGTCTAGAGTAATGGTTTTAAAAGAGCATAGATTCTATCATCTTAATTACTGCAGTTGAGGTTAACTACAAGGGAAAAAAATTAGTTCTTACCGCAACTCGCCTCAGATCCTCCCACTTCAGTGCAGATCCAGAAACAAAGGTTGTGTAGGCCATGGAGCACTTAAGTATGGATTCCAATTCCAAGGAAGGAGGAACCCTGGACAAAGAATGCAGACCCAAAGATTGAAAAAGATGACTGGTTTTGCTTCAGGGACTGTTATATTTACTTGCATTTAATGGAACCCCTAATCTCCTTTTGGAAGAAACATACATTCCATTTGTTATTAATCTACATGGTCAGGTCATGTTGACACTGCGGGCCTGATTCCAGGGATGGGTCTGAAGCTCAGGTCTAATTTGATAAAGAAATAGTACATGTGTAAACACGCGGGAGAAATTGCTGGTAGCCATCTTTTAAAACCAATCTGCCACAGTCTTCCCTCTGGCCACAAGAATTCACATCCTCCCCTGTACAAAATGCTCCCACATTCTCCTCTCCAAGTCTCCTCTCTTTATAGCAATCAGGTCCAAGTCCTGGATCTTATCTTCTTAACTCAGGTCTCGACGTGGATGGGGCTCTTCAGGCATGGCTCCACCCTATCTAAAGACCCATGAACTAAATAAATAGTCAAGTCTTACGATCCCCATCTCCACACCAAATACACCATGAAAAGTAATAGGAAAATTGCAAAAGACGTTCCCAGGCAAAAGAGGTGTGGCTTCTAATGAAAGGCATGCATGAATTGCTAGAAATCAGCAGATAGAAATTCTAAAATTTCTCTGAGTATATATTATTAGGACCCCCTACTTCAGGGGGCAGAGGGTATATTTAAATATATTTTATTGATTACGCTGTTACAGCTGTCCCAACTTTTGTTGTCTTCCTGTACCTGGTGCCTCCCATTTTCTCTACCAATGCCTCCCTTAGTTCATGTCTGTGGATTGTACATATAAGTTCTTTGGTTACTCCATTTCCTACACTGTACTTTACATCCCCCTGTCTATTTTGTACCTACCAATTTGTACTTCTAAATCCCTGTACTTTTTGATTAGAGCTCAGTTCTGTCCTTATGAGCTAAGCCATGTTCTTTTTGATCCTTGTTTCTGCCCTCTGACCCTTTGACTCACCCATTTTTTTCCTAATAAATGTCCCCTATTTGTACTTGAGTAGCTTTCTAGACTTGAATTTTGCATGTGCTACATTGGAGGCTCAGAGGCAATTTTATTTTTCATTTTGAATTCTCTTTGTCCTTTTTATCCCAAGCTGGCAGTGCTTTTACCAATAAAATTTTCTTGAAAGAACTGGCACATTTCTGTGCATATTATTCAGGCATGGCATGTCCACAAAGTCACAGTCATGATTCTTCTGGTGATGAATCACCAGATGAATCACCTTGCCTGATGGAAAGGAGCATCAGTTAAGTCACCACCTTAAATCCTTCTGAGGTCTTAACAAAGTGTCCTCAGTTGCATCCTTCATTGGATCTTGACCTTGAACCTTGAGGTCACATTTTATAGGCAGCGTCTTAGATTTGACTTTTTTTCTTCTGCTTAGATCATTTTCCTCTTTGAAAAAAATTTTTGGTCAGCTAGAGAGACTGTTCTGAAGCTTCTACATTTCTTTTACATTATGCTAAAAACTAAAAAGTTTCTTCTCCAGTTCTATTTTCTTACCTTATCACACATGATTATGTGATGGCAAATGACACTCAACATTCACAGGAAATTTTCTTAACCACACTTCACAACTGCGTAAGTACATTTTTCTATCTTCCCAGTTACTTTTAGTGACACTGTTACCAAGATTCTGCTCTTCTTCCAATCCCTAATAGCGCTTTCCTCACCATTTTTCTGGCCTCTCCTAAGAGTCTCCATGCAACCCTCCCAGTCTCTGCCTACCACTCGTTCCTAGGAAAAGGCCACATTTTGGCCTTTGTTATAATAGCACCCCACTGCCACTACCATACTACTGTTTTGTTTCTGAAAAACAAACCATTTTAGAACTTACTGACCTAAAACAAAAATAATACATTATTTTTCAGGAGTTTATGGTAGGCTGGCCTCAGCAAGGTAATTCTACATAGTGTCCACCATGACCGTCCATGTGGGTACACTCATCAGAGAGTTTCACTAAATGCTGGAATGATCAAAATGACTTTGCTCACAATTGCTGTCTCAGCTACCTGAATAGAGCAGGTGAGGTCTGGCTGGGCCTACTCCCCAGCAAGCTAGTCTGACTTTTTATATGATGTATTAGGGCTTAGGGACTCTCCTGGAGTGAAAGTTGAAACTGCCAGTCTTCCGAAAGGCCAGGCCTAAACTAGCCAAGTGCCACCACATTCTATGTATCAAATCAAGTCACTGGCCAGGTCAGATTCAAAGGGAAGAAAAAAAGACTCCATATTTTACCAAGAGGAGAAGCATGAATGCACAGTAAGGGAAGAAAATGTTAATAGCTGTGTTAAAGGAAAATCTACCATAATTATAGATGGTGATAAGTGCTTTAAAGAAAATATGACAGAGTAAAGAGACAGAAGGATTAGAAGATACTAATTTAGAAGAATAGAAAAATTCTCTCCAAGTGTTGAAGGATGAAAATAAACTGGTTATATAAAGGTAGAAGAAATTCTGAGCAAAAACAAAAATCAATAAAGTAGCCTTTATAGAAATTCAGGAGAGACAAGATACTAACTTTGAACAGGGTTGTGATAGTGGAAATGAAATGGTAGAAATGGGATTAGAATGTATTTAGGAGACAAAACTGATGATATTGATGAAAGTGTATACAGGGTTTGAGGGAGATAGGAGTATCGAAAAAATGCTTAGTTTTCTATTTCAACTATAAAATGTGTAAAAGTTCATGTTAATCCTATATATATTCTTATGTAAGATCAAAATATCATTTCAAATCTGCCTGACTTGTTTGAGTGATGTCTGAATAACTGATTCACTATTATTTTAGTTTCCTTCACATTATACTAAATCAATTCCAGAGAGCTGAAGTATAAGAAAAATTTCCATATGAAAACACAGAAATGCTAGAGAAATATTTATTTAATTCTAGAATAGAGAGGCCTAAGAATGTAAGAAAAACAACAAACCAAAAAATAAAAATAAAGAGTGAATGGGCTGAAGTGCATGTGGACCAAATGCTCCTGTAGTAAAATAAAAGCACAAAACTTAAAAGGCAAAGAGGGAGAAAAATATTTATAACACGTGACATAAAACAGCTAATATCAAAACATATTGAGTGCTTAACTCAGTAAAATAGCAGATGACCAGTCTCACAGAAAAGGGGATAAAAGAAATGAAGAGGAATTTCAAAAAGGAATGCAAATCATCAAAACACACAAATGTTGTCCCATCTCACGAGGAACTAAAATTGTAAGATAAACAATTAGAAACCATTTTGCCAACTTCAAAATCTTTTTGTATTAAATATGCACTTCTCAGTGCTTCACCAAACCTTTGACTCTGCTTATGAAAAGGTACACTGCATAGAACAAAAACATCATCAAAAAAATCCTTGGCGCATCTATTTGAACTTTAGATGTCCACCTGTGATCATTAACAGTTAGAGTTGTAATTATGAAATGTGCCAGACTTGTGCACAGAATCATGGTCATCTATAATAGTAATAAGTATAGTATAACCTTAATGATACGGCATCACTTAATAGTACATATACAGAAAAACTTCTGGCGAGATACAGTCCCAAACTTTTTCTGAAAATAACTTTGATCATGAGCTCACTTTTTCTTTTCTTTTTGCTTCTTATTATTTCTAACTTTTCTATGACTATTACAAGGTTAATTTTGTTCCATTTAAAACATTCACATGTATTGCAAGCATTAATTTAGAGCTCATGAGCCAAATGGATTCACTCACTCTCCCAGAAAGACAATCTCTGTTTTGATCTCCCCTGACTTATGACGCAGGAAGTTCCTCAGGAAAGCAGTCACACTGTCCACGGTGATGTTTCCACAGACCACGATGAACCTAGGGGCAAGAGCATGTCAGGTAGATTAGCTAAGGAACACAAGTAGACATCTTCCTGTCTAGATTTAGAGATGGACCATGAGCTTACACTTAATTTTAAATAAATTTGGTATTTGAATCACACAGATTTGAAAAATAGAAACAATCAGAACTTTATCTCCATGATACAAAAGAAGCATAAGATTTCTGTTGCCCCTAGTTCATCTCATATAGGGTATCACTTCACACATTTGGATTACACATGGCTTTTTAGGACTACGACAATAACTCACAACTACTATGATTTTCATGGTTACTTACAACTTTTTAAGCATATATTTTATTCATTATGCTATTACAGTTGTCCCATTTCCCCCCCTTTATTCCCCTCCACCCTGTACTGCCCCTCCCACCAGCATTCCTCCCCCTTAGTTCACGTCCCTGGGTTGTACATAGAAGTTCTTTGTACACTTCTTATATTATGCTTAACTTTTCCCTGTCTATTTTGTACCTACCATTTATGCTTTTTATTCCTTGCACTTTTTCCCCCTTCTCCTTCCTTTCCCTCCCCACTTATAACCCTCCAAGTGATCTCCATTTCTGTGATTCTGTTCCTGTTCTGTTTGTTTGCTGTTTGTTTGTTTATTTAGGTTTGGTTGTTGATAGTTCTGAGTTTAATCATTTTAGTGTTCATATTTTTGATCTTCTTCTTTTTCTTAGATAAGTCCCTTTAACATTTCATATAATAAAGGCTTGGTGATGATGAACTCCTTTAACTCAACGTTATGTGGGAAGCATGTTATCTGCCCTTCCATTCTAAGTGATAGCTTTGCTGGATAGAGTCATCCTGGATGTAGGCTCTTGCTTTTCATGACTTTAAATACTTTTTTCCAGCCCCTTCTTTCCTGGAAGGTTTCTTTTGAGAAATCAGCTGATAGCCTTATGGGAACTCTTCTGCAGGTAACTTCTCTTTTTCTCTTGCTGCTTTTAGGATTCTCTCCTTTTCTTTAATCTTGGGTAATGTAATTATGATGTGCCTTTGTGTTCGTTTCCTTGGATCCAAATTCTTGGGACTCTGAGCTTCCTGGACTTCCTCGAATATATTTCCTTTGCAATATTGGGGGAGTTCTCCTTCATTATTTTATCAAATAAGTTTTCAATTTCTTGGTCTTCCTCATCTCTTTCTGGTACCCATATGATTCAGATGTTGGAATGTTTAAAGTTGTCCCAGAGGTTCCTAAGCCTCTCCTCATTTCTTTGAATTCTTGTTTCTTCATTGTGTTCTGGTTGAATGTTTATTTCTTCCTTCTGGTCCAAACCATTGAGTCCCAGTTTTCTTCCTGTCACTGTTGGTTCCCTGTACATTTTCCTTTATTTCAATTTTCATAGTCTTCACTTTTTCCTGTATTTTGCAACCATACTCAACCATTTTTGTGAGCATCCTGATTACCAGTGTTTTGAACTGTGCCTCTAATAGGTTGGCTATCTGTTCATCTTTAGTTGTATTTTTTCTGGATATTTGATCTGTTCTTTCATTTGAGCCATTTTTTTTGTCTCAGCATGCCTGTTACATAGTAAGGGGTGGAGCCTTAGGTATTTTCCAGGGCAGGGCAACTGACATCACTGCCTTGTGGCACTGTTTGTGGGGGAGGGGTCCGAGTGGGAACAATGCTGCTTGTTTGGCTCTCCGCCAGCTTTCAGTCATTTCCTCCACTACCCACAAGCAAACTGGGCCCTTCTGGTGCTGAATCCCAGGTGGGTGGGTTTGTGTACGTTCTAGGATGCTGTGGGTCTCTCCAACAAACTCTTCTGTGAGGCCGGGAGTTTCTCCTGTCACCTCAGCCCCCACAGATTTTTACAGTCAGAGGTTTCAAGGTTTCATTTCCCTGCTCTAGAACCCTGAGTTGCACTGTCTGTCTTGCTCCCCAGTTGCTTTTCCCGGTTTATCTGTGAGCAAATGTGGGACTGCTTGCTCTACCACCAACCACCTCACCACTCATGTCCTCCAGCCACCGCCATCTCTGTCCCTCCTACTGGTCTGGATGAATGTTTCTTTAACTTTTTGGTCGGTGGACTTCCATACAGTTTTAGTTTCTTGAGTTCTGGGTTGTTTTTTGTTTTTAAATGTGTTGTTGCCCCTCTTTTGGTTGTATGAGGAGGCACAGTGATCTACCTATGACTCCATCTTGGCTGGATGTCAGTTATTTATAACTTCTAATGGACTTGTAAATGTGTAATTTGATTTTACTTTTTACTTGATTCCTGATTGGATGATAAAATCACTTTTCACTGAGGAACAATGGCTAAGAATGTTTTATTGATTTTCCCATAGTTAAACGCTATGGCTGAGGTAGCGCTGGGATCTAGGTATTTCTGTTTATCTTCCACATCTAAAATTATCCAGCAGTCAGAGAAAAAGTGAGTCTAATGAAGAGACACCTAGGACAGTTGCAAAAGTGTAAGCATGTAACTTTTATGGTAAATAAGAGTTGCCAGTTGCCTTAGGCTTAATATATATATATTTAAAAACCTGCTTTACCCTAAATTTTCCAGACCATACTGGCTTATTTACCATGGGTCACATATCTGTTCCCCAAATAAACTGGATTGAACTTTGGCTTATGTAGTTTATTCCATCGTTTTGATTCACTTTGTTATTTTTTGTCCTAGGTCAGTCTCGATTTTCACCCAACTGCATGAAGAGACCACTCCAAAGGAACTTACCTCCACTGCACCTCCTTCCTCTGTGGGAGACAAAGACTAAACAAAAGAGAATCACTTCAAATTTAAGGTCTCCAATTTGTTTTTTTTCCCTTGGATGTGAAAAGCATAATGGAAACTGAAGTAAAGTATATCATCAAAGAAACAGAGTAAGAACAAATCCGTTTTCCTCCTGGGAATTAGTGTCTGTGGCATGGGCACAGGAGATCTGTGAAATGCTGGAGAAGGGGCTGAGATTGCTCCTCACTCTAGCAAACTCCCGCCTGTGAATTGGCCCCGTAGGTTTAGGGGAGCTAGGGCTAAGGCAACTAAATTATTTTAAATTCAATCTGTGTTTTGAATTTGACCCATTATGTAAAGTTAGCCTGAGTTAACCACATGGTTGAAATGAATAAGACAAATAGTAATGGGTATAAGAGAATAGTTAGCAATGAGGAAGGTCAAAATATTGTCACAATCAATACTTGATAATGAATGACAATATCATCTATCATTTTAGTTAATTTAATGTTCTTGTGGACATCTGTGTAGTAGTTTGTATCAAGTAGCAAATATTATCTTCTTATGGCATTTGTTTTAGCACAACCCTCTTTAGTGAATGAAGTGTTCTGCCAATATATCCACCCAGGCCAAGCATTCGGTGTTTAGAAACAGATATGTGACTAGCAGAATATCTCAAACAAGTATAGTAGAAATTATGCTTGAAAGCTACTTACTTCTTTCCTTTGAGCACATCATAGGAACTGGTGTATTTCTTCTTGTTACCGAAAAGCTCCACCATCTCAGGGATATAGTTTGCAAATATTATCTAAAATGGTCAGCAAATAAAACCTTAATCTCATTATTTTAAAGGATACACCCAAAATTTGAGGTTATAAAGAAGAAAGAAGGTACACAAAACTTTGTTTTATCTTTGAGGGGCATCACTGTGAACTATGTATTTAAAAAGAGATAATTTCTTTTCTTACTTCAACCTTCACATTTGGTTAAAGTTGAATAAAATGCTTTTCAGCATTCAAAATGGTGACAGCGATGAAACAAGGACAAGCAGTGAGGCAACCTCCTTCCCTTTTTGTCCCTTTATCACTACCAACTGCCCTTCTGACTCTAAGACTTGCTGTTATTTAGGGCGCTAGTGGGGGGCGCACATAGGGAAATAAAGTGAAGAGATGTAGTGATGTGGACAGTGCAATGTCACAAAGGTGAAGTGGAGGACTCTGGTATGGTTTTTAAGGAACTGAAATTAGAAACTAAAGAAAAGGAGGTTTCCATTGTTCTTGACACAAAGTCCCGAACCACACACAGACTCTTACTCGTCTGAAGTACAATGCTGGTTTGGAGGGCTTACTCATTTGAGTTGGAAATAAGAGCCCTTTTTTCAGATCCAATCTCAAATGCCCTTCCTCTTTGGAAGAAACTTTCATCTGAAGGGCCAGAGATTGAGGAAGATACTGATACTCAAATCAATGTAGAGGCTAATAAGGAAAGTCTACTTCTCCTTTGTCCAGAGTCCTCATCTTTGGAGACCAAACAATCGCATCTCATGCTCCAGGGGATGCAATTTGGGAAAATGTGGGATCCATAGGGCTTTCCATTTGACACCTGAACAATGTAACATTCACGCTCAAGCCCAAACTGTTTCATTTCTCACCATTAACCAAACACTTATAATTTATGTAGCTACATTCAAAAGATATTAAAAGTATTCTGCAACAACATGGATGGATCTGGAAAGCATTATGCTGAATGAAATAGGCCAGGGGTTGAAAGGCAAATACCATATGATCTCACCTTTAACAGGAAGCTAAACAACAAAACAAACAAGCAAGCAGAATAAAAACAAAGACACTGAAATAGAGAACAAGGGGACAGTGACCAGAGGGGAGAGGGAAGGGAATTTAAGGGGGAAAAAGGGGAGGGATTTGGAGGAACAAATATGAAGGACACAGGGACAAGAACTAAGGGGGGTGGAAATGGGAGGGAGGTGGGGAGCACCGGGTGGGGGGCTGGGATGGGAGAAATAGACAAAAAAAACTGTACTTGAAAAATAGCTAAATAAAATAAAATAAATAAATAAATTTTAAAAAGTATTCTTCACCAAACTCCCCAGGGTGAAAAACATGATGAACGTTCGTCCCAGGGATGTCTTCGCTACCACGTCTCCGAAGCCGACAGTTGACGTTGTTGCCATGACCAGGTAAATGGACTCAAAATATGATATATTCTGTGAGTTTTTGCCTTTGAGCCAGGGATCCCCAGAATTTTCCACCTGTCCAAAAAGAAAAAGACACAGCAAAGGTCTCTGAATGGATTACAAGGGAAGTTTACAAAGGACAGATGAAATCACGTAATTCAATTCTAAATTCTAACGCAGTCTAAATGACCCCTATGCTGTTGCAAAGTGTTGGCAGATTGTGGGCAGTGATTGTGAAGTCTTATTTTCTTCCATTGTGATTGTTGCTGGAATCTTGTCGCCCGAGCCCACATTCGGGCGGAATAGTGGAATTCACTGCCCATATCTCTCTCTTTTCGAGTGGGCACAACACCACCACCTGGAGCAATTGCTGTTCATTCTCATTTTTCACCAAATCAGGATTACCTATCATTAAAGGAAGGAGCACTCCAGACAGCACTTTATTTTAGCGAGCTTAACCTCATGAAAGCAGGTGTCTGAGGAAAAGCAAAACGAGCTTCCCAGGTTGTTTCCCCCACTTCCCACAAAAATCTCTTCAGTGACTAAAATAACTCTGAAAAATATTTCCTCTGACTGCCCCCCTCAGTCTCCATGTTTCAAGGAAACTAAATTAATCAAGTTATCTTTGTTACATTAAATAAAAAGAGTAACCTAGATAATGACACTATACTTTATCTATATATATAGGGTATATAAACTCATTATAAATATACAGTATCTGAATATATCACAACAAATAACATATAACAATTATATAGAACATATATAATTTTCCTCTTTTCCATTTTAGGCATATTTTCCAAATACCTTACATATTCCTTTGACATATTCATTTTCTATGTGATATAAAAATAATAAAATACTAAATTAAAGATGCCTAGGCAAAGTAGGATTTTGTTTTATTAAGAACTGGAATAGAAATTAGAAATAATGTAGTTTGCTCAGGTATATGATCACTTTTTAAAAAAACAATTTTATTTATTTTTAGAGAGAGGGGAAGGAAGGTAGAAAGGAGAGGAACATGGAGGTGCTGCCCTTCACATGACCCTGGTGGGACCAGGCTGCAACCCAGGCATGTGCCCCGACTGGGAATCGAACCAGCGACATCTCATCTTGTGGGATGACACCCAAGTGAGCCACACCAGTCAGGGTAGGTATGTGGTCACCTTTTAAAAGTGACATGCCCAGTGCTGACTCTTTCTTAAACCTGATGAGCAGGTTATGAGTGAGGACTCCTATAAAATCCCACTCTAAAAAAAGAAAGAAATTGTATGTCTCTACTCAATCTCCATGGCCTGTGCATTATGCTACAAAGTATACTAATCTGTTTTTTACTGACTTCTGGAGTTGTCACTATTTTCTGAGACTATTGTACTGTTAGAAAACCAAGTTTAAATCACACAGATTTTTTATCTATCTATCTATCTATCTATGTATCTATCTATCTATCTATAGATACATACACCTAGAAATATATACACACAGCTGAGTATGCAAAACCAGTTTATTGTCATATTATTTATTAATTATTGCATTATTTTCTATACAAATAACTGTAGACCCATTTTTGCCCCACTCTGTATATATTCCACCCAGGATTACAAGAGTTACTTGGGACAGTTTCCTTTAAGCTAAAACCTTACAGTGTCTTTTAATAACATCGTAGCACATGGCTTCAATCATATCCTTATACCACATGCTGTACAAACTACAACTAAATTGATTTCAACCTGGAAGTCTCCTTCAAAATAAGTTAAATAACAATTTAGGGTTTCCCTCACTCTTTTTGGGAGTATTATGTTAGTGTCTCCAAGCCCTCCCCCCTCCCCGACCCGCCCCAGACACGGGGGCCTTCTGCTGGTCCGCCTGTCTAGTCTCTGCTAGCACCCGCCTGTCAGTCCCACGTGGGGAGTAAATTAAAATTAGGAAAAAGGGTTATGAAACGTGTTAGGATACTGAATTATCTAATTTTAACTCCCTATTTGGAAGCAACTGAGTTTTTATGTTTTTAAAAAATATTTTATGTATTTATTTTTAGAAAGAGGCAAAGGGAAGGAGAAAGAGTGGGAGAGAAACATCAATGTGTGGTTGCCTCTCATGTGTCCCCTACTGGGGACCTGGCCTGCAACCCAGGCATGTGCCCTGACTGGGAATTGAACTGGTGACCCTTTGCTTCACTGGCTCCTGTTTAATCCACTGAGCTATACCAGCCAGAGCAGTTTCTATGTTTTTAAGTTTTGTGTTTCGATTTTACATTAGAAATGCTGTGGAGGAGGAGGACAGAGGGACGTGCTCCTGTCTCCTCCCTCCCTATCATTCGTACTGGTTTTATATTACTTTCACATTGCAGATGCGAGTTCTGGTCTCTGACCATAATTCCCTTAGTTACGTCTTAGTTCTATTTTAAAGTCATTCAATAATCGCCACCACTAATTTTTATCATGGTTTCTTCATTACTGAGTTCTTAATTTTGATTCGTCTCCTCTGTGGCTGGAATTTATCATCGAGACACATTTTTAAAAAGGCTCATCAGTGTTATTTTTTCTTAAAATGACAGGACAGGTTACACTGTTTTCCACACAAGCTTTGCAGTCACTGCTCTGTTGTCTTTCTGTGCTGATTGATGTTGCCAAGCAATCTGAGGCTAGTTTGAATTTTTCCCTTTTCTACAGACTTTGCTTTGTTCTGCTTGGATTCTCTCCTTATCCTCAAAGGTCACTAAACTGCCCCCAAATATGGTTAGAATAAATAATTTAGAGTTATTTTTCCTGGATTCAGTATATCTTTTAAAGATACAGTGTAGCTTCAAAACTTTATTCTAAACATCTTTCTCGGGTGCCCTTTGCCATGTCATTTTCCGCACCGGTTTAAGAGAGTTCTGAGTGGACATCGCCCATCGTCCACGGTTCCGCTCCAGCATCATTTGAGCACCTTTGTTCCTTCCATGCCAGGGTTTTGGCCTCCGTCCCGCCCGCCGTGTCTGTGAGTGTGCTTCATCACATGGACTACATGGCGGATCCTCTTGTGCAGCTTTCAGCTCTGTGACACTCTTCCTTTTCTCCGATAGCTTTCAGCCCATTTTCAACTCCTGCTGCTGCTTAATATTCCTTTATTTAAAATCTTATGCATGTAGTTTGAACGATCACTTTCAGTTTTTAAAACTCCCCATTTATATTTTTCTCAAATATAAAGCGTTTTCCTTAACTTTTGTTTCCTTGGGAAAATTATCTTGTAATTGCTCTTATAACTATTATGTTATGCAACTGTTATTAAATCGATATCTGCTCTCCTTCATATACTCTTGGCATTTCTGGTAGAATCTAAGGGGAAGCACCATATTGACTGCTTTCTGGTAAAATATTCACCTTTGAATGGTGTCAGCTCTTAGCTGTGACTATGGGAAGATGGTGAGTTGAGACAAATCACACTTTTATTTTGTTTTGTCATTTCAAATATCCTCCCACCAAAATCTGCTCTTTTCTCTGCTCTGGGATATAGCTCTTCTAGGTTGTTAACACTCTAGATGTTGGTGGGACTTACTGTAGATCCCTTTAAATTATACACCATCTGGTTACTTCTCCTTCTTTCTCTACGCGCCTCCTTGTTGGAGGTCTCTTTGCCTGGGCGACTGGATGCCCGACAAGGACGCATATTCACATGCTTAGAAGGGTCAAGCAAAAATCTTGAATGATTCCAAGAAGCCTGGCAGAGACCGTGCCCAACTCAGGAGCACACGCTACTTACAGGGAGCAGCTAGTCTTCGACCAGGACTTCTGGTGGCCTTGGCGGAAGGGGTCGGGCTTGTGTTTTCCCCCGAAATCCAGAAATCTTTTTATGTGGAAGAGCAGGCAATAAAAAATAAATGTAAACATAATTGAGTCAAACAAAAGACGCCTGTAGGCTGCATTTGGCCTGAGAGCCCCTCATTGGAACTGCCGCTGAAGGCGAAAGGTCGTTGCTCCTTCAGCACACGCTTCCCTCCCATCCTGTGATGGCCTGCAGGTCTCTGCGGGGACACGGGCCACTGCTTCTCCCATGGCAGGCCCGTGACCCTAGGACCAGTCCTCTAGGTCCAGGGGCCTGCCTTCACTGCTGCGACACTTCATTTCAGGAAAACCTTCTGCTTGCTTGAGTGCTGAGAAAGGGCGTGGCTGGTTTCAGATTTCTTGAAGTTTCTGTCACAACTTGCATTTCGTATTTGACATTTTTCTTTTTTCTTGTTACTGCTTTAATTAATTTTGAGACAAGGGCCCACGTGAAAATGACTTCTGCTATGTTTTTTTGTTTTGCTTTGCTTCTCTTAGAGGCCTGTGCAGGCTCTTATCATCCCATTTTAATTTCTGCATTTTCTCACCACTGCTCCTCCACTGTCTTAGAGCAACAAACTCTAGGAGTTACTTTCCTACTGTTGAAATCCACTTACTATATGGCTGATTAACATGGGCTAAAAACTAACCTTTCCTATAGGCAAAGGAAGCAGATTAATTTCAGAACCAAGAAATCCCCAAAGTTCCCCTTTTGCAACTCAGAAACACCTCCCCCACAATTTTCTGGTTTATAAAAGTATAGAATTATCCTTATAGCTTCAATTATTTTACTTTTTATTCTTTTTTAAAATGCTGAATATACAGCAGTAACTTTTACCTACTGCTTATACCTCTGAAGGGTAAGCTTTACTAGGGTAGGTTTTGAGAGCTGGAAGAAAGAATATAGATACCTCAAGTGTAGGAGATACATATTCACCATAAATATGGGGGTGGAGAAAACCCTACATGGGAAGTAAAAAGATAAGCCTCACGCTAGTTACAGTGATGGAGACAGGAGTTCAGAAAGATAACCTCCATTTTTTAAAGAAAAGACATTCATGCTGACCTGCAACAGGAGATGCTTACCAGGTGAATGAATCCTGCAGCCGTGAACCAGGTACTGAGAACTATTGACAACAGTTTGGAAAACTTCACTGAATTGCTAGAGGAAGAAAGACAAAGAGCTGTTGGGTTCTGACCAAGTCCCAGAAAACACAACTACCTCGCCCTCTGAAATCTTGCCACTCAAAGTACAGTTCACAGACCTGAAGCAATGGTACCCTTACCCAGGAGTGTATCTGAAATGCAGAATCCCAGGCCCCATCTGACTACAGATCTGCAGTGCTACAAGATCTTCCGCTTGATTCAAACGCATATCAGAGCTGAAGATGCGGAGCTCTGGAGCAGACCCAGCTACAGATGCGTGTGCGAAAAACTTAGATTTTGCTATGGTATCCTCTAGCCTAATCTTATTCTGCTTTTAAAAGTATAGTATATGTGTATCATCATAAAATAAATTTAAGAGATTGCTAGTTGCCTAAAGTGACTGTATGAACTGCAGTGTCCCAGGAATCCAGAGTGGGCTTGCAAAGTGAAATTTTGGGTAGTCACAGAAATGTGGTTTCATATCACCAAGCTCCTTTCAGCATCTTTGAGTGAGGAGGATCAGACCAGCTCCTGTCTCCTAAATAAGGGCCTGGCATTTACTGGAATCTCTGTGGCTTTCAGATGGGGCCACCTGTCACTGAAGAACAGCCTTTTACGATCTTGACTTTTCCATCATGCATAAACTCAGGCAGGTGGAAGTGAAATCTCCCTGGTATATAATATTCGATCCTTCTAGTGAGGCTTTAGGGGCACGGAGACTTTGAGTGGGTAACAGAAGACCAAACTGCTTAAAACTTTGTAAGTATTGCTGCTCAACTGTAGCTTTTTTTTGAGACATTTGGGTGGGTTTGTTTCTTGAAGCAACAGTTCACTGAGGCCACTGGGCAGCTCTCGCGCTCAGAGGGATTGTGTTACGTTCCTAGGCAGGAAAGACGTGATTCATAGCAGCCAATGTATCAAATGTATCGAACCAAAGCCTCTGAATTGTTTTGCTTTTCAGTAGGTGGCGGTGGTAGGGGAATTAAAGCCTAAATGGATTTACACATTGTAGCTCTACAAAACAAAGAAGAAACAAAATCTTCAAAATGATTGCAAACTTTTCAGCGAGTGTGTGTGAGACTAGCACGGTGGGAGAAAGTGAGCAGAGTAATACCACTGGAGCTACAGGGTTTCATGACTTTTGCACCAGAACTCTGATGAGAAATGAGTTGAGCTGAAGGTTCAGTTAACATTTTAGTTCCCCAGCCCCAAACAGGGCGTGAGTGATACTTGAGGAAGGGCATGTACCTGGTCCTGATGGCTCTCAGAATTTGCAAGATCTGAGGGAGTTCTAGAAGCCTCAGTGCTCTTAGGAACCTTAAACCTAGGAAGCAATGGGAAGGAGAAAGTCACCAAGAGAAGAGGGTCACTCCGGGGAGTGACCTGCATTATAACCCAGTTGGGAGTGATTACACTCTTTCCCTCCCAGAAATGCTCACACTATATTATAATGTCGTAGGTTCAAGAGTGTGAGCTCTCATTCAAATACTAGCCCTGACATTTAACAGCTGTTGTAATCTAAAACAATGATCTCAACTTCTCTAATTTCTCATCTATAAAATGGGAATTATAATAGTACCTACCACATAGGGTTGCTGAGCTAACAGAAAGCATATATTATAATAAGCATTACTCACATTTTACTTAATTCTTCCTTAGAATAAAAAACAAATTATCCATAAGCCACTTAAACTTCTAACTACAGAACATCTATGATATGTTTCTCACTGTTTGTGTGATGCTTTATTTTATATAGTTTGATAATAATGATAGCAAGAAATATTTTATAGATAATAAGGTAAAGTTACATAAAAATCAGTAAAAGCCATGACTCCCATGTACTGTCAATATGTCTACCATGAAGACTAAGTAACTAAATAAATCTCTAACATGTGACACTGTGTCTGGAGATGATGATCTATAGATTTTAAAGGCCAAGGGGGGGTTTCATCTCTCCCACTCATGGGTCCCAGCCTGGAGGGGCCCCCGGGGTGGGATGCTGGGAGCTCTCCTCTCAAGTCATGGATGAGCCAGTCTGATACCGACAACAAATACCGACACCTACTGTGCGTCACACTGCTAGGTACTGCGGTAAAAAAAAATGGGCTCTGAAAATATATTATAAAACCATAAAAGTACAGTGAGGAGTTTCTTAAAATGGCATTTAGGCATTAAAGGAAAATGAAGAATAAAATAAATGTTGAGGCTTTTTCAAAAAGAGATTGCTTCCGATTCCCACAATACACTTACCTAGCCAATTACTCTTCAGATAATAAGAAATGAAGGTTGGTGGGATGGTAAAGATGTCCACAATTGAGTTCATCTCCAACCAGAACCTGATCTTGTCATCAGCCGCCAAAAACTATGAAAGAAAAATAAAAAGATCCCAAATTCTGTGTGAACACTAGAGTGGATTTATTCAGACACATTTCACTCATCAACTGGCTCTTTGATCTGATTCCATTATATGCATATACACATACATATTATATAGCTATATATATATAGTATGTATATACAAATTTTTTAAGATTTTATTTATTTATTTTTAGGGAGCGGGGGAGAAAGAAAGGGAAACATCAATGTGTGGTTGCCTTTTGAGTGCCCCCTACTGGGGACCCAGCCTGCAACCCAGGCATGTGCCCTGACTGGGAATCGAACTGGCAACTCTTTGGTTCACAGCCCTGCGCTCAATCCACTGAGGCACAACAGCCAGGGCTATATTATATATATTTATATAGATAGATCTACATTTAGGTAGATATAAAGATTATACTTTTAGTAGGTGTTCAATAAACAAACAGGAAACCAGTTTACTTCCTGGATCTTAACTGTCACACTTTGACAGCAGTTTCTACTGCTCCTACATCTTTATAATTATATAACCAAACCCCTCTATTTGTAAGCAATGAGGAAACATGATTTAGCATGGTCTTCCATGGAAAAGGTACAGCAGTGTAGAATTTTGGCTGGCCAAGGCCTGTGTTTACGAGCTTCCCTATTTAGATTAAGAAAGTAAGCATTTCCAGAAAGGAGAGTTTGCTATTAAAAGAAGATTTTGATGGTCGGCATGGTCAGATTATGTTCTGAAAGATGGCCATAGAGACTCATATTACATCCGTACATGGTCTGTCCAGAAGGTATCCAGCCATGCAATATGAAAAATAGAGACATTTATTGAAGAAGATTCAAGATATAAGAAACATAGTAAATGAGACAAGATGCCTCAGTTCCCTTCAAAGTAGGCACCTTGGGACCTCACACAGTTCTCCCAATTGCCATCAGCTGCTCCATTATATTTTCCTGTAACTCATTGACAGTCTGAAATCTCTTCCCTTTCAAAGGTGATTTTAGTTTTGGGAAAAGCCACAAGTCCCAGGGTGCCAAATCTGGGCCGTAGTGGGGCTGAGTCACCTGGGTGATTTGATGCTTTGCCAAAGAAGTGTGTGAGACGTGATGCATGAGCAGGCGCATTGTGGTGATGGAGCTGCCAATCACTAGTTGCCCATAGCTGCCGCCTTCTGAGTCATCCAAATGGTTTCCATGGAGGAATGTTCAATTTTAATGCAAAATATGATGCAGATTCGTTGCTCTACTCACTCAGCCATTTTGAATGCGACAGCCACACAGTACACATGTTCACTCAGCAGCATCTACTGCCCCCACTGACTAATATAGTGAAGTCATTGTTCACACATGTGCATTCCAGTCCACTCCTTGGCTGCCAGGTTACATCAATGTCACACAAACCATTCTTGTTGTATTAACAATAGCTGGACTTTCTCCAGACAGACCTCGTATGTATAACATATCTAAATTATATGTATATAAATACAGAGGATGGATAAATAGGATGGGTCTTCAATAAATGCCTGTGGAATGAGAGAACTATTTAATACATGAGTATAACAAAAATTAAACGAAGATATAGAAGTACTTTATATAGTTACATGGCACATACGCTGTCAGTGAAGCCAGTGACTTTTTGGAGGCTTGTTATTCAGGTTCTGCTAGCTTGTGATTATTAGTACAGCTTTCTCAATGGTAGGTGGAAAGCCAACAAGGAGGGCAGTGTGACAGATTGATGATATTTTTGTATTGGAATTTTTGGCCTGGGTTACAGCTTCAGATGCAGGAGAGAGAGTTATTATGTCTCAGTATACATTTAACAATTTAGGGCATAGACCCTTTGGGGCCAGCAAACATAGGCTGACTGTGTAAGCAAGGCACACACAGATGGCTTTGTGCTGTGCCTGTCCTGTTTGTCTGTTTACTCCCACTTTCAATAGGTACTTACTCTCAACCCAAAATAGAAAGTAAAGAAAGCATTGAAAGTCAAATCAATAGGGATGGTTTTGTCTTGGTATGAAGAACAGCTTCCAACGGGGCTGCAAAAGAAACAAAGACAGTTTATAAAGATGCACGTTTTAAAAGCTGTGCCTACTTAGGGCGAAAGAAAGAGAACCAATCCAGACAGTTAAATTCACGTCTCCAGGAAATTTCTTTTATCTTGGGACTAGAGGCATGCATGAACAAAAGCACTGGACTGTGCGTGGAGCTGAAAATAACCAGAAAATGACCTGCTTTCCTTTCACAGACTTTATTGCATCTACTTCTGTTTTATCAGTAGGGATTCAGAGGCCTAGAAATTAGGTGGCTCTTCTTGGTTTGTATGACCATCTACTCAGGCCAAAAAATTTGGGTTTTATTTAACGTAAATTTTAGGTTTTATTTATCACCCTTTTGATACAAAGCTACTCCAGGTCAAATGAAATGACCCAAGACAAATGAAAAAAACAAAAACAAAAACCAAATTTCCTAAAAGATCGGTAAGGAATTCACAAAGCAAAGACTACTAGCTTCCTGAGGATCTCTAAAGCGGCTTGATGGCCCTGCAACCCCAATTTTACCTCGGCTGGAAATCCAAGATGATTCCCAGAGGTTCAGCCTGGGGCTCACATTAAACTGGGTTCATCCTTCACTTTGGCATAAAAGGAGAAAATGCCTTCTGAGAAGAGCTGACAGCAGTTTGCTCCTTTGTCTCAGGTGAGATCTAGCATCCTTCTTTTTCAAGACCACCCTAAACTGTTTCAAACCTATGAGATATCCTGACATGACCACAGAACTTCTGCTTTAATACCCACAGCGTCCAAAGGCATGCAAAGCCCTCCGAAGCAGCCCGAAGGAGCAGACCACTGCTGGAGGCTTGCAGCCCCTGAGACTGGAGAGAAGATACGTGCATGGCACCCGAGCCCCGGGCAACGCAGCCTGGCTGGATGCTGATGTAGTTCGTGCAATTTTGTGAAGCTGCTTTTAGTGCTTCCTGGGGGAACTAAACACTATCCTCTTTATGAGCTTGTGCATATGAATACACTGGAAAGTATATTAACCATTTTTTCTGACAGAAAATTCCAAATTAGTGGGTAACCTAATGATATAGCCGACAAAGTGATTAGGGATTGTACTTACTCAGAAGAGTTGATGAAATAGATTATAAGAGACCCAATGCTTAGTACAAAGACAAGGATCACCTGAAAAGAAAAACAGAGGAAAATGTACAAAATCCATTTTATTGACATGACCATAGATGAATAAACAAATCAAGAAAACTGTTTTTTTCTTTTTGTCATGCCTATACATGTGTAGTCATTTTTCACAGTTCATTTATGTTAGTATCCATTCACTCATTTTTTTTCATTCTTTCTTTCAAGAAAAATTGATTGGAGCTTTGCTGGGTATTCAGTAAATGAACATGTACCTATCCATTTCACTTACCTGGTTTTCACTCTCACACACTTCATAATAGCTTGTTCTCCCTGCTGCTCCTAAAGCCGTCCGGTCTCAAGAAGTTCTGTCACTTACTCATTCATTCACTCATCAAACATTTATTAAGCATTTATTGTAAGTTCTGTACTTTAGTACATGCTAGAAAATGAGAGCTCCTAGATGTAGACTTTGAAGTTGAATTGCCTGTGATGTTGTAGAACAAACAGTCCCAAACATGTCCATCTACAAGATGGTCTGAATTTTGACAGGAGGGAAAGTGCTACAGTGAGAAAAAAACACGAATGCTTTAACCCGCCAATGTATCTGGTCTATAAAATAAGCAGAGCGTGCAGAATACAATCAGAAATGTATCCATCGAAAACCCTCAGTGCATTTGGATGAGCTCTTTCGCAGCCCCTTTGACTTTTCAGGTCAGCTATGGGTAAGCGAATGTTCCTCCAGCTGTGTCTAGTTTCCACGCCATCTGTCTCCTTAGTATGTCCAGTCCAGTCCAGTCTTAATAATACTAGTAATAAAAATGAATTTGATTTACAATTAGAGCTTTACACTCTTCCAGCTCAGGTGTCCCTGGGGCAGGCTATTTGTACCGGGAAAGAGGTCAGTTTCTTCTCTGTTAACCCTTTTGGGGGTTCTATTCCTAGTTGCCCTGTGACTAGGCCACCCATGGCCTCTGCAGAATTGTGGGTCATGTAGGGGAGTGAACAGAAAGGCAAGGTCAGAGCTGAAAAGTTGGACTTGACTGGCCTTGGAGTCCGACAGTCCCCGCCCGGGGCTCTCTGAGCATGGGATGTGTTTCGGGTTTACTTTCACAGGTTCTTTCACTGTTCTTTGGCAAACCTAATTCAAGTCTTTCAGCAACTGCTTCTGTAGCACCTATCCTGACCCACATATTACCCTGGAGATTGGGGATACATCTGTGAACAACTCATGCAAAGATCCTTGCCTGTATGGAGTTTAAGTGATATGTATGGTATGTCAGAGAATACTACATGTTAGGAAAATAATGTGAAGGGGATGAGAAATGCAAGAGGAGCGGGCAGGAGAGTTGTCATCTCGGTGATGTTTCATTGCTACGTGCCGTGTTTGTGGTTCCTGTGAACTGGGTGAACCACTGGAGGCTCACCAGTCTCCGCTCAGTGCACTTCACAGTCTCGCATTCTGCTGGAGTCCTGACCCTCCAGATGCCGCCTGAGCAGGTAGGAGAATCTCTCACCTGGGACAGACATCTGGCCCGTGGACCACCCCAAGCATTTTTTGCCCCAACGAACACTAGAAGGACAGACCACCTTCAGTGTGGCACCTTCTCTGACACAGAGCAGCCAGATGGCCTCTTATCACGGCTGAGCCAGCTGTCAGTTCACTGTGTCCCAAAGTTCTAGAGATGCAGATCGAAACTTCTGAGTGGTCTCTCCTAAGCCTTTTTCTTTAGGCTTTACATGAGAGGATATAATCCCACACCTCTGCTGCAACAGAAATCGTTTCGAAAGTCCTTTTCCATTTCCGACTTACCCTCATTTGCGTGTGGTTGGGTACAATGCTAAGAGCTTCAACTGGTTTTCTTCCAACAGCTTTGTAAGTGGCAGTGTTGCCCCTTACTTAATACACAGGAGTTACTGGCTTCTGCTTTATCATTTATATTAAGTGTTGAGATATTGCTAAGCTCAAGGAAAATGTTGGGAGTGGATATGTGGAGATTGTGTGTGTGTGTGTATCAGCATATTGATAATCATACATAGTTTTCATGAAATCTTTTTTCTTTCCTTTACATATGAGCATATTTTTTCTCTCTTACTAAATTTTATAAGTGGTTCTCCAAGTATAAATCATACATTGACAGGCTTCCAGAAAGATGGCAGCAGACTAATGTTTACAATCCTCCAAATCATTGAACTCAACAAAAAAGAAGAAAGTGTTAGTTTTATTGACACTGAGAACGATACAAACCTCAGGTCACAAACCTGAAGAACATGACGTAGAAATAACATGGTGTGAACAGAGAAGTGCTCACCAGCCCAAAAGAAGGCAGTGGGACCTAAAACCTGTGAACACCATTCAGCGAGTTGGGTTGAAATGGGAGATAATTCTGAGACAACCTGCTGGGTTGAAGGGGCAAATCTGGAGAAGCCGGCTGTCTGGAAAGGGCAGCAAGCTCTCCACCCGAGGCGTGGATCGCAGATGGAGCCACAAAGACAGAGGGGCCTGGCGGAAGCATTCTGAAGCCGAGCAGTTGCTGAGGAGGGACATTTTAGCTAGCAGCAGCCCCCTTTTCTCAGAAGCACCCTGGAAAGCAGTCAGAGAGAAATAAACCGAATTATTTGAAACCCCACCCAGAGACAGCCCCGTCTGCCGAGTTGCTGGCAACAACATCCTCCCTCTGGGTTTGTCCGTGTGGGAAAATGCACAGCAAATAGAGGCTCTGTCTTCCACAGTCAGGCTTCACTCTCCCTGTTTACCCAGGGACAGTTCTGGGGATCTTCAGAACCCAAACAGCCGTCACCATGGTTAGCAATGGACACAGTGAATACTTTCAACTTTCACTTACGAATATTAGCAGACAACAGAAAATCGACAGTTATATGGGAAGTATAAGAAAACAGGGGGATCAGGTCGTGAAAAGGGATGAAATGAACTCCCATGAAAGAGGTAACACAGACTACGTAATTAAACTGTTTAAAAGTACAATCATTGTTCCTAGTGAGGCTCTAAAAATCTGTTGAGTAGTATTGGAGGATCTGGGAAGTAAAAAGAGAATATGGGGGTAACACAGATATCGTAACTGCGAGAAGCTGCACCCCAACCCTGGCTGAGAGATCAACGAAAAGAGGTCAGGACTGTCAACATTTAGCATCTTACGAGAGGTGTGCTTTGGGAGTTGAGATTCAGACCTGTAAGGACAGGTCCTGGCTTGGCTGGCAATTGCATCTCTGAGGAGATGCTGCGAGCCTGGCGCTAGCAGTGTTGAGAAAAAATAGTTTTTCAATAGTATTTTTAAGTGTTGACTGCTACAGGAGGAAAATATCGCTGAATAGATGAGGCTGAAAAATACAGATGCAGAACATGGAAGAAGCATCTCCCTTCCTCTCTCCGGGTTCCGGTGTCCTCTTGCAGCCCCTGTCAGGAGAGCCCAGCTAGGAACACAAGGGAGCTCACACAAGACACAGGTGGTTGCTGAGTCCTGGCCTCACACCCAAAGCGGAGGAGAGAGGGTGGACTGGGAGCTGGGAGACAAGAGCTTAGTATCTAATTGATGGGGTGTTCAACCCACAGCCCACAGGCTGCATGCAGCTTGGGATGGCTCTGAATGTTGCCCAACACAAAATTATAAATTTACTTAGAACTTTTTTTTTTGCTCATCAGTTTTTGTTAGTGTTTGTGTATTTAATGTGTGGTCCAAGACAACTGTTCTTCCAGTGTGGCCCAGAGACACCAAAAGGTTGCACGCCCCTGATAGCAGGTCATCTTAAGTGCTAGAAGACACTGAAACATTTACTGACACTTCAGAGAAAAAGAACTGGAAGCCAAGAACTTGACATCCAACCAAACTGTTGTTCCCTTGTGAGGAGAGCAAGATAAAAGCCATGCTCGGATATTCAAGAGCTCGGAGATGATACTGCCCACATTTTCCCTTACAAATACATACGGAAAGTACTCAAGAAAAAAAATTGGAAAGATAAATGTGGTGCCTAAGAAAAGGTAAAAATAATGCAGTTCTTGATTCTGAAGCAAATATGAAGAAAATAGTACTAACATGTGTGTAACGCTCAAAACAAAATAGTAGTCTAGAAATGAAGGTCAGGTTAGTTCAATTTTTTGGAAGCAAAGAAGAACGATGTGAAAGATCTCATGTAAGAAGAGAGTATGGACATAAAACGTGCAGAGCTACATGGAGAAACACGGAATGGGAATTTTGTTCTGCGTTTGATTTACCCAGAGTGCCTATGCTACGTATTAAAAATGGAATTATCCAAGTCAAAGATGTAGGGAAATAAACAAAACTAATAAAAAGTTACAAATCAGAAATGGAAATATCAGCTAATGGTCAATGCTTATGTACCTTGAACGGTTTACACTTATTATCATGTCATTTTCCCTACAATACTTTAAAGGAGCTTATTCACATTGCAGGAACAGAACCCAGTATGCCCAGGATGACACAGTAGGAAGTGGAGGAGCTGATGTGTGAGCCCGAGTCTCTCAGAAATCACAGCCACCGTGCAGTTCCGCCTCCCCAGTAAGACCCGGAACCTGGACTGGGATGCAGCTTAGTTGTGTATCCGATACCCACTCTCCCTTTTCTTACTAACAGACATCCCGTTTTTTTTAAGGCACTGATATTAGATATTCTATTATGCAGCAAATTCAATTTCTAAATATTATAAAGACCAATAAAACAGATCACCATGAGGTGAATAACTCCTCTGGTGAATTAACAGATAAATGTATTTGTAAGTCAATAAAAGTATAAAAATCCAGGTACATGATATTTATGAGACACGCTTAAGAGGAAATAAGACAGAAGATTGAGAGAGAGCTGGGCAAAGACATCCCAGGGAAGTTTGAATGAAATGGAAGCAATGTTACATACTAATGTTGTATTTTAAAATGTTCCAGCCCCCCAAAAAAGAGATAAACTAAAAAATGCTAAATGTAACAAAAATGGATATTTCACATTGATGAAAGGCCCACTGAGTTGAGAAGATGTAATAAATGTGCTAAGTAATGTTAGGCACTAATGGGCATTACA